TGCGAATATGCTGTCGGTAGTCGGGTAATAGATTCCTGTATAACCACTGAAGTTCTTGTTCCGGAGTTATGCCACCGTGCCTTCTGATTAGCGTCTGTAGATCGGTTATATAACGGTGCGGCGGTTCATGCGGTTTCTGAAGGCGGCGGCTAATTTCGATTTCTAAATCGGCGGCATAATTAATGGGAAAGTAAAAACTCCGGAAATCCCGTAGGAACTCGTCCCAGGAATTCCAGTGTGCTCGGTTATTTCGGTACCATAGGGATGCATCACCCTGTAAAATTTCGGGCATGTGCGGTAATAACCGGTCAATTGTAATCCCTTGGGAGGCACAAATTTCCTGTAGCCTTTCGATAAAAGTCACCGGATCGGTTCGACCATTGAAATTGACATTCCACTTGTGTACCTTCAGTGGTATTATCGGAGATCCGGATGTGACTGGAGAAGACAGCGGTCGGTGAACGGTAATAGTCGGTATCGGCGGATTAAGTATTTGAGTTGTACCCGGCGTTCCAACATTTGCGGTACTGGTATGAGTCAGGACAGCGGTACTATTTGCCTGCGTCGGATGCATACTGGCATTAGTCGGGAAGGTGAAACCGGTCATAGTAGTCGGTGCTGGTGAAGCCTTTCCCTGACGATAAAACGTCACTAGTCGCTTCTTCAACGTGTCAACGGTACCCGTAGTATCTAGTCCAAACTTATTTAGTTCGGCAGTCAGTTCATCCTTCTTTAGTAGGTAAACAAAACCTACACGGCCATCGTTGGGATCGTACCAGGCGGGGTAAGCGGTTACGGATAGACTAACTGGCGGATTCACCGGACTGGTAGTGATGACAGTAGCGGCGGTAGTACTCGGTGTACTAGTAACGGTTGGGTTGCCATTGTTGCCGGTGCCTCCTGGCATCGTAATTCGGTCGGTTAACGGGAGCGGAATGCGGAGTAAGGGCTCAAATGACAACGGCCTTCAGCGGCTAATTAACAGCAGGTGCGTTAGTAGGCTTACGGTTAAACTCGGCGGTGCGGTGCGGTACGGTACGGTACGGTACGGTTAAGATTCGGAGTGCTCTGGGCGGCAGTCGGAAACGGTTAATCGTTCGGAACGATCAGGTTGACGGTCGGACGGTAAAGGTACGAAGAGAGCTGGGCGGTGAATGTTTCGGAAATATTCGGCTAGACGGTTAGAGCTAGAGTGCTCAAGTGAACAAGTCGACGGTCAGGCGGTGAGTGTTTTGGAGTATTCAAGTGTTCAGCTTGGCGGTCTGACGGTAAGTGTTTCGGAGTGCTCCAGCTGACGGTCGGGCGGTAAGTGTTTTAAAGTGATCAGCTTGAAGGTCTGACGGTAAGTGTCTTGAAGTGATCAAGCGATCTCCTCGACGGTCGGGCGGTAAGTGTTTTGAAGTGATCAGCTTGAAGGTCTGACGGTAAGTGTCTCATCTAGCTCAATCGTCTTGCTATATACTCCCTTGCGGTAGTAGGGAGGCGTTCGGCCACCAAAAGGTTGGTGGGGAGCTTTACGGAAATCCTCGGACTTTTGGTAAATGTGGCAACCTGTGCAACATACACTTATTCCCTCCGAGGAACTAGATTCGGCAACCTCGCATTAGTCGGAGAGGTTGTGTAGCTCGGTTTTATATTTGCGCATGCGCAAAATGAATCGGGCGGAAAAGCGGTTCGGTATAGGTCGATCGGTGTTCGGACGGCGGGCTTTCGTGAAAAATGGCGGCGGACGGTTGGATTGTGTCTCACTACATCAGGGAGAAAATTTACGGATGGAGAAACTGAAATCAGCGACCGTGGATTACTGGTAAGGAGGCAGTTGCTCGAATTTTGGTTAACGCATGCGTAACAATACTTCCCAAAAACGGAGGCCTCCGGTCCAATGCGGTACGGTGTACAGGAACTCTTTTCCACGGTCGGTCGGACGGCATTGGTTGAGACTCTCAACTCATGGGGCGGATGCGAAGGCACGCGCGGAACGGTCCCAAAAAGAGCGGTGCATTTGCTTCGGCAATATGCGGTCTGGCAATCACCAAAAGAAACGGTACGGTAACGGACAACCAACGGTCATCGCCAAAACAAATGGTCTCTCGATGTAACGGGACTGCTGGTGACGTAATCACATCGATCATGTGCTGAAATCATGGACATGCGCAGAACGGTCCCTGCTCGGGCGCCAAATTTGTAGCGCTACTTTGGTTTTCCGGTAAGAAAGCGGTCGGTTCGGGGTTTTCGGAAAACTCGGGCGCCACCCTTAGGATTAATGTGGTTAAGGGCCCACGGGCACTAGGTAGCTTTTAAACAGTGGAGACGGAAAAACCAGAGGTCGATGCGCATTTTCCCCAAAATGAAACACATAATATCCAACAATGCACTTTTATTAATGCCCAAATAAATAACAATAGAAAGGAAATGCAAGAAAACCTAATTAAGATGCGGATTTATTGAAATGAAATGCTTAACCCGGAGGGAGAGAGTGTGTGAACGAGTATGAGAGAGAGACGGAGTGATATGCGTGACGGTGCTGGGCTGGTATAGCGCGGCGGTAAAGATGGCGGTGCGGTAGAAATGACGGTGCGGTAGAAATTACGGTGCGGTAAAAAATGACGGTGCGGTAAACAATGACGGTGCGGTGAAAATGACGGTGCGGTAAACAATGACGGTGCGGTGAAACAGGCAAGAAGCTCCGGAATTATGGTTTGTACGGTCCGACTCTTACCGGCGTCAGCAACTCGGATCAGCGCCCTATGGCGCATGCGTGAATTTAACAATAGGCAGAAAGCAGGTCCCCGTGGAATATGAAGTCAGAAGAAGTGTGAGACAAAGAGTGCCACCCTGTACGTGTTCCAGCCCGTGGCCCCCTTTTGTCTTCCCATAGAGGAAACAAAACCACCCAGTACGTGTTCCCACCCGTGGTTTCGTTTCCTCTATCCACCAATCGAGACAGAAGAGTGCTACCCTGTACGTATTCCAGCCCGTAGCCCCCTTAGGTCTTTCACTACAAGAACAGAGCTACCCAGTACGTGTTCCCACCCGTAGTTCCGTTCTTGCAGTGTGAGAGAGAGAGAGAATACCTGCCTTCTTACCCATACCTATTACTTACTGAGCCTTCATCTGGCGTCGCGACGGTGCTGACGTCGGCAAGCGGCGGCGGCGGCGGCGGATAAAACGGACTTACATTGCTTGTAGCTGGCGGCTGGTGCTGGTCGGTAGGTCTGGTCGGAATCGGAGCTCGGATAGAAGTGGCCGACTGCAGTGTGTGCTGCCGTATAAATAATCGGGAGGCGCCGCGTCACGTCGTCGTCAGACGGCAGCGCAGATACCAGCGGTGGGGAATCGAGTTTTTGAAACGCGGCGCGCACGTCGGTTTATACTGGAGAGTGCTTTGCATTCGAGGTCACGCGTCGACACAACATATCGGTACGGAATTAATTTAATTAACGGAAACGCGGATAAAACAATAAAAATTTAGTAACCTACGTTACACTTTGAATAAAAAACATTTATCGGACCTAATTATCAATAGAATGCTTGTAACATACAGTCACATGAAGTGCCAACGTCTGGTTGCGATGCTCATATTCTGCTAACGTTGCATGGCGCAGGGCACGAATCTAGCCGAATATCAGTTGCGTTGGCAAAAAATGAATATGCGTCCCGGGCTTAAATGGTACCATTGAAGATATCGCGATACGGTTTTTGACAATCAACGTTTCTCGAAAATCAATCTCATGACATCTAAGTCAATTTTCTTCTATCTGGTCTGGAAGTATGTTTTTCCTGTTAAAACACTCCAAAATGCAGCACTGTGTGTACAAATGTACACCCCCCGTCCAAATGCCCTTGACTTGTACTCTATCGGACCTCGGGGGCTTATTTGGCTCATATTGCCCTTGGTATCTTAATAACTATAATGTTTCTAACGAAATATGCCTTATTTATGTACAGGAATATTATTATATTATTAGGTTATAATAATCATAGTAACAATAAAGGATTTACTGGGATGTAGGCAATTTATCAAGGAATTACTAGGATATGCAAGGATTTACCAAGGAATTACTATGATGTACTAGGATTTATTGGAATGTAGTAGGATTTCCTAAGGATTTCTAAGAACCGGGGAAATACTTAGGTGATTTACTCAAAAAAAGGATGTAGGTGTACACTTTTTGCCAAATGTGTTCACCTCTCGGGTTTTCCATTCATAGGCCGATCGATTGTACGCCACTGGTATTTTTCTACTTCTGACTACCCCCTCAACCTTTCCATGTAAGTATGAATTCAGTTTCCTAAGTACAGTTTTTGAATAATCATACAGTTTTGTATATTTTCGTATGGTTCTCCATTCGTTCGTAGGTCGATTGAGTGTACGCCACTGGTATTTTCCGGTTTCTGACTATTTACTCCCTCAACCTTTCCATGTTAGTATGAATTCAATCATATGTACAGTTTTTGAATAATCATACAGTTTCCTATGTACAGTTTTTGAATAATTATACAGTTTTGTATATTTTCGTATGCTTCTCCATTCGTAGGTCGATCGAGTGTACGCCACTGGTATTTTCCTGTTTCTGACCACCCCCGGCACCCCCTCAACCTTTCCATGTTAGTATGAATTCAATCATATGTACAGTTTTCAGAAACTTTATCGGACATTTGGTAACACTAAAACTGAAAATTCCAAGATCAAGGAAAAGATTTTGAAAAATCATATTTGCAAGCGGACCTAACCTATCAAATAAAGATTTTCCTAGTAGAATGTGGTTGTGCTAAAGAGGACTATAGGTACCTATCTATATTAACTCCTAAAATTGCTCGGCAAGAGGAAGGAGCAGGAAAAAAACTTTAAAAACACTTGAATTAAACCATTATTTATAAATCAATAAGGTTTAAACCATCTCATGTTTCTGTTAATCAAATCATTTTCTGATAAAAGCAATAACAGTAAATGAACTTTGATATCCGATGTAAATTATCAATAAGTAGGTAGATATTATTATATTCATAACCTCAAACAAATATTAAAGCTCGCAGGAAGCAGTAGTTTTGTAAAGATTTTACAATAAAGCGTATTGCAATATTTTTCAAAAATGGGTGACGAAGTGGATGGAAACACGGTGTTGGCCCAAGCTCTCAAAGCACAGGTAAATAAATGAACTGAAAATAACTATTGAGTATTGACCTTGTTCCAAAAAAAAAAACTAAAAACATTTATACAATGTAAAATAGGTATTTATTATAAGAAAAACTGTGTAGGTACCTACTTATATACATAACATATTAAATCATATTTTTCTTTGTACTTAAGTACCTACCAACCTAAATTAGGTATAATCTAATTATCGCTATGGAAAATCTGATACGTATAATAACAAAGTTTAGTATGCAATACCTACTTGCTTCTTGAATTTTGATTATTTCCATATATGAAACCTGTAGCGACATCTATGAATCAATAAACGAACTACATATAGGTACTGTCCATTTTCTTTAGGGCGTAGAATTCATTTTTGGAATAATCGGATATCCAGTCATAGAGCTAAGCCTGGCATTACAGATGGCCGATATCCATTATATCGGAATGCGGAACGAGCAAGCTGCTTGTTATGCTGCACAAGCTATGGGATACTTAACAGGTACTTAACTATGCGAAAATTATTATGCATTTGAGTGCAATATTTTTCAATTAAAGGCAATCCTGCTGGAGTTCTTTGCGTGTCAGGCCCCGGAGTACTGCACACTTTTGCTGGTATGGCAAACGCACAAGTGAATTGCTGGCCAGTACTGGTTATTGGTGGCTCAGCACCACAGGATCATGAAGGAATTGGGGGTTTCCAAGAATGCAACCAAGTAATTATCCCTTTTTGTGTATATTTTTTTCGATTATTGTTCAATTGAATTCAGGTTGAATTAGCGCGACCTTATAGTAAATACTCAGCCAGACCCCCAAGTATACCTCTCATACCGTCACATGTAGAAAAGGCTGTGAGACTAGCCAAAAATGGCAGACCAGGCGCAGTCTATTTAGATTTTCCAGCAAATATTTTGTCAGGAAAGGTAGATTCTAGTGCCGTTCCACTTCAATATGGACCTACAGAAATTCCCATTATATATCCAGACCCAAAGAAAATTCAACATGCCATTAAAGTACTGTCAGAAGCCAAAAGACCTTTAGTTATTATTGGTAAAGGGGCTGCTTATGCGAGAGCAGAAGACCAAGTTAATGAACTAGTAAATAGTACAAACTTACCATTCCTTGCAACTCCAATGGGCAAAGGGGTTGTTTCAGATACGTCAGACAAATGCGTTCAATCCGCACGAACATTGGCGCTTCTAAAAGCTGACGTTATATTGCTGTTAGGGGGTAGACTAAATTGGATGCTTCATTTTGGAAGACCAAGCAGGTAGTAATTTTTAATATAAATTGGAAAATATATTATCAAAATATTTGTTTTTAAAGATTTGCTCCAGACGTTAAAGTAATCCAAATTGATATATCTTCAGAAGAATTGCACAATAGTGTCAAATCTGAAGTGGCTATTCAAAGCGATATCAAAACTGCTGTAGCTGAACTAGCAAAGGGGTTAAAACTGCAAAAATTTGTGTTTTCTAGAACAGAGGAATGGTGGACTAGTTTGACGAAAAAATGTGATGAAAATAGAAAAAATGTTGAGGTAAGTAACTTTGACACCAAAAGCCTGATTCTCAAAAAAGAAAATATTTCCATTCAGGCAATGGCTAACGACCACCAAGTCCCACTCAACTATTACGCAGTCTTTAGCAACCTCTACAAAAATCTTCCCGATAATTGCATAATTGTCAGTGAAGGAGCTAACACTATGGACATAGGAAGAGCCGTACTCCTTAACAAACGTCCAAGACACAGACTGGATGCTGGCACTTTTGGTACGATGGGTGTGGGTCCAGGTTTTGCAATCGCAGCCGCCCTTTATTGCAGACACTACGAACCAACCAAAAAAGTAATTTGCGTGGAAGGGGATTCGGCTTTTGGATTTTCCGGTATGGAAATTGAAACTATGGTGAGGTATCGGCTGCCGATTATCGTTGTGGTGGTCAACAATTCTGGAATTTACACTGGAATGGATCATGAGGTGTTTGAAGAGATACAAAATAGTGGAGAAATTACCAAAGTGTAAGTGTAATTATTTTTTTTCTGATAAGGTTTTTTATTATTATTTATTTAGTACTCCTCCTGGTTGTCTAACCAGTGCCACCCGATACGACCAAATGATGGCTTTGTTTGGCAGGACTGGATTTTTCGTGCAAACTATTCCTGAATTGGAAAGTGCCACAAAACAAGCCTTGGAAATCCACGAGGGCCCTACTATAATTAATGTTTTAATCAATCGTACTGCTGATAGAAAACCGCAGGCATTCAATTGGTTAACTGAATCAAAACTTTAATCAAAATTTTTCTGTTTTAATATGTATTTGGTTGTTAGGATTTCGGTCTTGGAATTAAGTTAGAGATGGGTTGTGAATATATAATTATTGGTTCTTTTATGTTAATAAATATCCTAATGTGTATCTAATTTTTACAACAATTTGATTGTGTGTGGCTACCTTCTTATCAAAACCAGATTTGGAGCGAGAAAAGGGCACAGAAAAATTGAAAAATTGATAAATCACCCCAAATTTCTTAACACGATTTTATCTCAGGAACCATAAGTGCAAATGAGCTGAAATTTTCAGAGATTGAAGTCCCTTGATTGGGATAAAATTCAGTAAAAGTTTCAGCTTTCTATCTATAATAGAAAAAAAGTTATGACCTTTCAAAGTTTTCCAAAATCTAAATCATAAGGATTCTTACTAAAACGATGAAATTTCAAATTTTTTTTGTCGAGATTTGTATACTAATGGTCAATCAACATACCCCAAACTCCATACACTAAATTATTCTCAGATTTGAAGCCGAAATCTATGAAAAAATGCACTCAGAAATATTGAAAAATTGATAAATCATCCCAAATTGCTTAACACAATTTTATCTCAGGAACTATAAGTGCAAATGAGCTGAAATTTTCAGGGATTGTAGTCCCTTGATTGGGATCAAAACCAGTGAAAGTTTCAGCTTTCTATCTATAATAGAAAAAAATTTATGACCTTTCAAAGTTTTCCAAAATCTAAATCATAAGGTATATTTATTTATCCCATTTTGACGTTTAAAAATATCATTATTGAACGCATAACAATGAAGGTAAGTAGACGTTTATCACTTCAGTGATTTAAAAAGATTTTATGTACGACCTACACTGTAAGAGCTTATTACGGAACTCATTTTAGCCTGTTTGAGTTACGTAATAAGTTGCATTATCGTGCTTAGTGATGTAATGAGCTCATTACTGCACTCAGTGATGTAATGAACTCTCATTACATCACTCAGTGATGTAATGTGCTCCCATTACATCACTCAGTGATGTAATGAGAGCTCATTACGTAACTCATTTTTATTGGAAAACGGCACTTTTTAAATTCATTTATCAATAATTATAAATATAATCTTTTGTGAAAAATTAAAACCATTTCGAATAAATGAAAAAAATCTGGGTCGTACATAAAATGTTGTATATCACACGTACGGTAACGCTCATTACACCACTCGTGTGATTACCACGACTCGGTCTACGACCTCGTCTTGGCAATATTCCCCACTCGTTACTGTAATGAAGCTTATACCGTACTAGTGATATAAATAACTATTAACTCACGCTCGGCATTTTAAGTCACTCTGCCCAACTAAACATCTGACACCTCAGTGATTTAAAATATTTTTAACTCACTCTTGGAATTTTTCCTTGTACTTTATTTTTCAAATTTCCACAAAATGGGATAAAACTTTGTATGCATCACGTGACTTAAAATGTTTATTCATTCGAAGAAAATTAACCCACTCGCTAGGGCTCGTGGGTTAAACTTTCTTCTCATGAATGAACATTCATTTAACTCACTTGGTGTATAAATAACTATGATTTAAGATTCCAAGAATTCATAACGCACATGAAAATTTTTATTATCCGTTGATAACAACAACATGTTTGATAGGTAGGTACACTCTCTGGCGCCTGATTCTGAAACAAGGGAGCAGTAAAGTTCTCTGTCTTCGCCTCCATATGCAAAATCCCATACAAGTGACAAAAACAGAAAATTTGTTCTAATGAGTACCCACACTGCTCTCTGGTTTCAAGAATCGCATAAGCGCCAATTGTTGTCTATTGTTCATTCATTAGTTGATCAGTGCAAAAATGGTACCACCAGAAAGCGTAACTAGTTACCTGATTATACTAATTATTCTGTCAGAAAAAAAAGAATATGTCAAGTTACGAGAACTATTCCTAAACATTTTGTTTAGTATTTTGATATTTATATAGAGCTCAAAAAAGCTTCAACAATGGGTAAGTGTACTAGATTAGTTTATGAAAATATTTGTACCAAAAAATGTGAGAAAACATTACAAAATTTGTCAAAAAACGTCAATCGTCTATATTTCCTACCACAAATTTATAAATGAGTCCGCAAGATCCATCTCTCAAGTTCAATTCCCTTCCCATTAGTTGACATATAATAGACTAGCATTGCTATATACACCTACTACCTAATCTTGGAGATGCGTACCTGCTATATTAAATAATTTCCAGGTTGTAAGATTCCCATGCGATATTCCATTATGGCAATGGTCTTCTTTTCGACCTACATCAATTATTGTACAAGAACTAACATGTCCATGAGTCTGCCGGCTATGGTGAAATACAAAAAGAAATTAATTCCTGAATGTACAAAAAATGAACAAACGGAACCTCCGCCTACCGATAACAGTACTGATTCTGATGAAGGAAGTAAAACGAGCACTCAGGAAGATGTAACAAAAGTGCAGCCTACCAACAATTTTCGAATTAAATATTTTTCGTTTTAGACTGGCGAAAGATATGAGTGGACTGAATCGGAACAAGGAGCAATATTAGGAGCCTACTTTTATGGATTTATGGCAGGTTCTCTTCCCGCTGGAGCTATATCAGAGTGGTTCGGTCCACGCTGGACCATAATGGTAGCAACCGGAGTTGCTGGAATATTGAACAGTGTGGGTGTATTTATAACTCCCTTACATTGGTCTGCCCTTTTGGTGATTCGTGTACTCATCGGATTCACTGGTGTAAGTATTTTATTTTATTTCTTTCTAATTATTTAACAGCAGCATTATTAGGCTCTAGTATATCCGGCTTTGCAAACGCTTATCGGCCGTTGGGCTCCGCCCCAAGAAAAAAATAAATTTACCGCCTGTCTTATGGGTAACACTCTCGGTACTGCTCTTACATGGATTATTGTTGGTGCTGTTACAAGTGCATGGAAATGGCCATGGGGTTTTCATGTGGTGTCGATCGAATGTTTCTTATTCCTCTTTGTATTCTTTTTCTTGGCATGGGACAGTCCAGAACAATGCAAATGGATTACAGATGAAGAACTTGAATATATTAAGACTTCCCAAGAGGGCAAAGTATCTAAATCAAAAGTAATTTGTTGAATCTGAGTATAAAATAATGAAATAAAAATGTTTTTGTCCTAGGCCGTGGCACCATATTGCGCCATGATGAAGTCTATACCATTTTGGGCATTAGCAATTCTTTTATTTGGAAATTTATGGGGTTTGTATCTACAGATCAATGCCGGACCAAAATTTATGGCAGAGTACATTGGATTCAATATCAAGGTATAAGGAAACGAATCTCTGTCTATCCATATTGTGAAATTCTGAAATTTAATTTTCAGAGTTCTGGATTTATGGCATCTTTACCACACTTGTGCAGGTTATTTAGCGGCATTTTTTTCGGTTATATGGGAGACTGGCTAAAAAGGAAAAAGTTCAAGAGGGTCTACATTCTAAAGTCTTTTATCTTGACATGTAATTATTCAAAGATCAATTTTAATTCTTTTTATCAAATAATTTTTAGCGCACATTTTACCTGGAATCTTGATGGGAATGATGATTTTGGCCAAATGTAACAAAGTCATCGCAATTGCTCTTCTGGTCTTCAGCATGTCTATTAATGGATCTGCAGTAGTGACCCACTTGGCCAATCCGACAGATTTAGCACCGAATTTCGCAGGATCAATTTTTGCAGCAATTTCTTTCATTGGCGGTACCACTGGATTTATTAACCCTGCTGTAACCAGTGCCCTTATTGACTGCTATGGGGTAGAGAAATTATCTTATTTTTAATAGTTTATGTGAGAAAATACTGTTTTTCAGAATAACACTAAAGCTTGGGGCTACGTATTTATGATTGGTGCTATATTTTACTGCGGATCCGGAGTACTTTTTATAATTTTTGGTTCGGCGGACATCCAGAAATGGAATGAGAAGAAGGAACCAAAACCTGAAGAGGGACCATCCGGGACCTAATAAATAAGTACCTATTTCACTTTATTCAAACTAAATTTTCCAATAAACTAAAAAAAAAAAATGTGCTTTTATTTCGTCTTTTACCTCAAGAAAATAATTTACAACACTTAAAAAAAACACACATAAACATTCATTTAGGCATTGAGTTTGGTAGTTTCACTTGGATCTTCTTTGTTTTCAGCCTCTTGGTCTTTTAAATCTTTCAATGAAACTGGTTCCTCGCCATTTATTTCAGGCAATTTTTCATTCCAAGGCTGTATATCTGAAGAACCTAGTAGAATGAAGAGCAGTCCTGAACCGACATAAACACTGCCACCTATGATGAAGTTCCTAGACCATTCATGGATACCATTCTAAAAAAAAAGATTTGTGATGATCCAGAAATTTGACCCGATAATTACAAAGTCTTTACTGTAAAAATTAAATTTTATCAAATAATCAAAATTTAATTCCGGTATTTTTAAATCTGTATCGATAAATTAAAATAAAACAAATTAACGCTACGTATCTCGACACACAGCATGTGTATCATCAAAAACCCGATCAATGAACTTTTTTCTTAGCAAGACCAGCATGTTAATTAATTTGATGATATATGGCATTCTTGAACCAATAATGTTTTGACCTCAATAAATCAGAATATTGCGACATAATTAATCGTTTTCAGGCTAAAAATGATATAAAATTCCAAGGAATTGCATCATCTTAATTGTCATGGACAAAGAGATTTGGGGTCATCGATTTTATATAAAATAGCGCGTTTTTAGTTGTTAAAGACAGTTGCCAGTAAACAGTTGAGTTGTCCAGTTTGAGTAAAAGTCTACAGAACCAAATGAGTTTGCCCGGTTAAAAGGTCACGTAGCTGCCTCGGAAGACGCGTTCGATTTGACTTGAGAAAAAATACGAAAAATCGGGAAAGTAATAACATTTGAAATTCGTTCAATAATTTATGTGCGTGCTAGCTAACTATTTTGAGTAATTAATTAAGTAATTTTACGTGTGTTTTATGGATAGAATGTAAGTACTCTATAGTGACAAGATTTATTTTTGATGAACATGACTTTGTGTGAATTTTACTAGAAAAACTTTTGACTTTAATCACGGTGGAACTTTATTTTATTACAATAAAATTAATAACTTGAGTGTTTTATAAAGGAAACATTATCGCATAACTTTAATTACCTTCAGATATAATGACATTTAAATGTGCAAAGAAAATATGAAGAGTATAGTCGTATTCACGATAGAGTTTGAATTTTGACCGTTATTTTCACCAGTTGAAAATAAATAAAATCCCCAGATCTGTGCCTTTTTCTGACAACTATCAAATAATGATACATGACATTTTGATTTGACACATAAAAATATCAGATTCGGGTCTTTTGAATTTCGAATTTTTGTGTGAAATCATTCAGGTTTTTGCCGTTTTCTGCATTATTTTTTTATTTGGTATTATCGCAATCGGTTTTTTGATTTTTTATGTAGTGTTCTGTGCCTTTGTGTTTCGGTGTTGCGTTTCAAACCTGGTTTTAGTATGGATTTAAGTGTTTACTCTTATTATAAGTGTTTACTTTGGACTCTAATTTTAGGATTTTTGGATTTTAATAACTTAACTTCCTTTAAAGAAATTGAAAATAAATTTTTATTCTGAAATATATATCACTTTTCTAAATACGACCCTGTCGTTTATCCCAGCTGATGGAATCGAAGCGCTAACGCATGCTGACAACCTAAAGAAAAAATTTACTAAAAATGTCAACGCGAACTGTCAACTTCACTTTCTATCGTGATTTAGTCTATACTTATAATGCCTTTAACAATATACAATTTTGAGTTGGAATTATGAATTAAACAGTTGAATTTATTAGCAAGGCATAGGAATCCAAAAATAGTATTTGTTCTGATAAACTATTAACTGCAATAGGAAATTTTGAAAAGAAATTTGATGACATAAAATAGAATTGTTTTCTTAAAATATTGGAAACTTGTTAAAAGGAAACTTATATTAGAATTTGTTCTGATTAAATAAACTAATAAAAAGGAAATAGGATGTTTCGAAAAGAAATTTGTTCATGAAATAGAATTGTTTTAAAATATGGGAAAGTTGTTAAAAGAATTTATTGTTCATGAAATGAATTTTGAATTAGGAATTTTATGTTTCGAGTAGAAGTTATTGTAAGATTTTATGAGAATAAATTAGTTGATAAACAAATAGGTAATTATTTTGGGATTTCATAAGTAAAGGACATAGAGATTTTAAAGAATTATTTGATTAGGTGGAGGATAGTTATTAGGAATGATTTGGATGTAGTGAAATGAGTTGAATTATAATTTATGAGAAATAGTTTTCTTATTTAGTAGGGATATTTCAGTGGTCTGTAAAATAACAATATAGAACGGATGTGAAGTATTGATTTCATAGAAATAAAGAAGGATGAAAAGTATTGGAAGATATTTGGCTGATTTTTGGGTTTTAAGTGAAATAAAATATAATTTAGTACACCTCATTAGTTTGTTTCTCTCTCTTGCAAATAGACCCTCTTCCACAGATTTTAGATAGCAACTCCAAGTATATAAACACCATCAATATACCGCTCGCCATTTACCATCTAACTAATTTATATAGAGTACTTGGGGCGTAATGCTACACATTCAAAGTACCTACCTAGAACAATAATTAAAGCATAATAACTTACGTTTTCCTTTATTAAAGCTCCTGTTACTGCAGGAGTAATGAATCCAGTGGTGCCCCCAATCAAACTAATAACACCGAAAATGCTACCAGCAAAGTTAGGGGCAAGATCTTGGGCATTTTGTAGATTCGTAACCACAGCCGCTCCATTTATGGACATACTGAAGACTAGAATCAGCACTGCTCCGATGTAATCGCATTTTACCAATGTCATGCACATAAGAAGAATACCCGGAATAATGTGAGCTATAAACATAATTAACAAAGATAAAATCAAAAATGATTGAGAAGATTTACTTACATAAAACTACAAATGATTTTCTGGTCAAAGTTGCACTTAGACCAGTTTTTTGTTTAAGGATATCTCCTAAGTATCCATAGCCGATTCCAAAGAACATCCTGAGAAGATGTGGCATTGCTGCTAAGCCTCCAGAAGCCTAAAATATTAATTAATATATAGCTATATAGGAGCCAAAATTATACTCCTTACTTTGATGTTAAAACCAATAACTTCAACCATAAATTTGGGCACTCCAGTAATCTGAAGATACAAGCCCCATAGATTACCAAAATGCAAAATACAAAGAGCCCAAAACGGTATTGACATAAACATTTTCAAATAAGGAGGTACAGCCTTTCCTTTAGTAATAGACTTGGCCTGAGATTCTTTGATGTACATTTTCTCCTCCTCACTGATCCATTTGTGCTGATCGGGACTGTCAGCCACCACGAACCAAAACACCAGGCAAAACACTCCGATTTGTATAGTGAGGAAATGGAAACCCCAGTCCCAGCCAGCTGCAGCTGTGACCATACCAACAAGGATCCATGTAAGACACGTGCCCAAGGTATTACCCATAAGACCACTCACGAATTTGCCTTTTTCTGCTGGAGGTGCCCAACGGGCAATGAGACATTGGAGGGCGGGATAAATAGGACCCTAAGCGAAAAACGTTCTTAATTCATTGTTGGTGTGAATGTGATTACTTACAGCCATAAGTCCTAAGACGAACCTACAAAAAATCAGTACCCCAAAGTGCCAGTGGGCAGCCCACACTGACAGAGAGTTGAACAGGGCAGTTACGATTTGCGCATAAAAAATTGTGTTGAACGGTCCCAACCATTCGGCAATGAATCCACCGGGGGCGCTCGATATGACGTAGCCCCAAAAATAGGAGCCCAGGATTATGCCTTGTATGTGTTCATCCCAGTCGTAACGAGGTCCGTACTAAAATAAACAAAAAAAAAGACGCTGTTGAAATACAAGTAAATTGATTAGAGGCTCTAAAAAAATATGTTGTCTTCCTTTACTTACATTCTATAATTTCAATGCAGCATAAAGGAGAAAAAAAAAACACTTTAAAAACTGAGGTTTGAAATACTACCACAAATGTACTTACATCCTATTTTGGAATGTTGCAAAAAAGATAATTATTGTTATTAGTAAGGATCATAATGAAATATGTATTGTGTACAATACTGGGTGTAGGTACTTACATCTGGTAAAGCTTTTACTGAGGTGTTCCCATTCACAACTATAGCATGGGTATCATTTCTTTTACATTCTGGAACACTCGACTGGCCTTTTGCCCTGCTAACCATCGACGTTATACTAATTGACATGTTACTTCTGGTTGTGTAATTGATATAGGTCGAGGCGAACACCATGACGGCGATCCAGAACCTCATTGGAATTTTGAAACCTGCAAAAAGGTACCTTGATCAATGAAAAAAAAATTCTAGCACTATCTTTAAACGTCCTGGGTCCTTATTCTTGAAACGGAGGAGTAGCGTTCCCAGGAGAACAAGTGTGCCGTCTTTGTTACTTATATTATCAGTTGCATATCATTGAGAAAGACGGAACACTCGTTTTCCTGGGAACGCTGCTCCTCTGTTCCAAGAATAAGGACCCTAAGGTGGGGCAAAATGAGTTCAATCTTCTACAAAAGCATAAGTCATAGGTCAACTGGAAGATAATCACGAGCTTATAGGGCCAGGGTTTTTTTCGTTTTTTCTTAGGTGATATTGTCAACTCTACATGGAACCACGGGCTATACAAACAACCAGACTAATTAACCCAATTATAGTCTGCAAATATTGGATATAAAAGCCATGTGTGGCAATCCTGGTTTTGTTCGTTCTAATTGTCCAAAGTGTAGAAATTCATCAGCCACCATTGATTTTTCTAGTGCGGACATTTGACCAAACGATTATGTTGTGAAGACTACTAACCGATTAAACCTTTCTCCACGTGCACGTCCTATATTAAAAATAGAAATTTTGGGTCACATAGGAACAGGAATTATGGATTAAAAATAATTCCCCAAGTCAAAAATTTAGTAACTATGTTGGCAACATAAGCCTTTTCTACATACTGTCTGTTTTTTTTTTAAAGTTAATTCCCCAAGTCAAAAATTTAGTAACTATGTTGGGAACACAAGCCTTCTCTACATAAAAATTTGAGAGCATTGACAATTTTACATTGTATTGCCAACATAAAGTCATTTTGACTTTTATCTTGAAAAAAAAAAACACTTTAGGTTCTTGTTAGACTCTGGACAAAAGTTTGAAACTTAACCTTCAACTTATAAACTAGCAGATGGAACTGTTGTTGACAGAGATGTAAAGTTGGCCAGTGTCGATGTTTATTTAAATGGACATTGTGTACCCACAACTTTTAATATTTTGCCAGATGTGGTAAATCAAACCCTGCTATTATAGCAGTGGATTTTTATAACAGATCCCAACATAAATTTGGATATTCCTTGTGCTACTTCTTGGTATTTTACCGATGAAATAAGTGATGCAAATTCCCTGGCAAACGCGATGCATCAGTTGTCTTTTGAAGACCTGTTGTCCACGAATCAAGACATATTCTAGCTCCTGAATAGCGTGAAAGATTACAAGCCTTTTTGCTCCAAAACGAGGATATTTTTAGTCTAGAGGGAGATGCCGCACCATATACCGAGCATTGCATCAACCTATTTCAGTGCCTTCGTACAGAATGTCACAACAATGTCACCTACTCGGAAGAAGCAGTTACGCACTGAATTAGTCAAGCTTTTTAAGGAAAATATTATAGAAGAGACAGAAAGTCCATGGACATTTCCCGTTGTTTTAGTACCTAAAAAGGATGGGCAAGTGACGCTATGAGTCAGCTATTAAAAACTCAAAGCCGTCAGCGTTACTGATTCAAACCCTCTACCAAATGGATGATCTACTACATGCTGCAAAACATACCGCTTTCATGACTACCATAGACTGATGATCTGGTTATCACCAGATTAGTGTCTGCGAGTGTTACCCACTCCATTTGGAACATTCCGCTATTTACGTATGCCATTCGGATTGAAAAACGCTCCGGCCACTTTCTAGCGTTTAATGAATGTTTTTCGTCGTGGACTCACAAACATTTCTATTTTGTTATTAATTAGGTAACGGCCCAATTAAGGACCGATTGAGAAGTGTTTTATCTCTGCAAGACCATCCGTGGACGCGTTTCGCTGTATCACAGCTCATCAGCACGGTTTAGGTCCCGCAGAGAGAAAACACAACCCATTTTTGGTTCCATCCCGGAACTGGGTTTAATACAAGTAAAATGAAGACAGGGTCTCCATCTATTTTCTGATCGGCACACTAAAAATTGCTACTAACAACCGTATAAACCAGTATTAAATTAGAGCAAATCGACTCGCAAAGGCATTCGCCACAATTGCGAGAATAGCTATTCTGGTTTATACGGTTGTTAGTAGCAATTTTTAGTGTGCCGATCAGAAAATAGATGGAGACCCTGTCTTCATTTTACTTGTATTTCTATTTTGGCTGATCGTCTTGTCCTCTGACTTTCAGGCGCACCTTAGTGATCTTCAGAAAGTTTGCAAGAGGCTTAGACAGTTCAAGTTGCGCGCAAATCGGACAAAATATGTGTTAGCTAGTCCGAGTGTTCGATATCTGGGACATTTAATAACACCCAAGGGTATATCAGTTAATCCTGAGAAATTTGCTACTATTGCCCAATCTGCCTGCTCCTCGGAACTTGAAATAGAGTACAATCGTTTCTCCAAGCCTGCGCATGGTTCATTAAGAACTTCTTTGAAATCGCACGCCCTTTAAGTCATTTATGATTAGAACAGATGCCAGTTCATATGCAATTGGGGCCAATTGGGCCATATTGCTTCAAGGAGAAGGACCAGAAGTTGTGGAATATCCGTCGAGGTTGTTACTGCCAACTGAGCGAAATTATACTACAACTGAACGAGAAACAAATTTAAATAATCAATCTAGAAATATTGGCTCAAAAACAACTATAGCTGAGTAGCTAGCTTCCCGTATGGGACCTCAGTACCTGCTGGGAAACTGGCTAACTAACCAAAAACTCCAGTTTGGAATATAGGTAGTGTTGATTGAATGTAGTGTGTGTAATTAAAATTTTAGCACAGGAACAGGGACGGTACCTAATTTAAACTTTTATTGACTTAAATTATTGAATTAATGACTCACAATAATTATTTTAAATGACACAGTATGTTTCGATTTTTGGGGAATGTTAGATCGAGGGTTTCTTTGCCGTTCTCTTTCCCCTCGTTAGTTCCAGGTCGAGAACGGTACGTTTTTCTTCTCGTTTTTCTTTGAAAATAAAGGAGGCGTTTCACAAATTTTTCGTTTCTTTTACATATCACAACTTCCCTTAAATTTCTCAAATATTTGCGGGCGCATGTCCAGTAAGTAAAATTGAGTAAATTTCCTCAAAGTACGTCCTATTTGTTTTTCATTTCATTTTTCAGAAGATTTGTTGTTTAAAAGGTAATAAAAATTCTCATCGTTCAATCTTACTGAGCGAACCTGGATATGTTATACTACAGTATATGAACTGCACTTTAGTCGGCTGCAGTGAGTTAGTATACTGAGCATAGTTTTTAGTGCGATTTATGTAGTTTGTGCTATGTGACTTCCGCAAAATGTCTCAATAGGAATGTGTGAGGTGTAGAGCCAGTTCATGACTTGGTAGCAGTTGGTGCACAGTACCATTTCCTGTGCATGAAAACTTTGCATCAGCCCTTACGGACTTCGCATAAAGTTGGGAGACCGCCATCAAGTGAGATTGACGATGCGATTCAAGCAGTTTACTGTTTGCTATATATTCTGTGGCTGTATTCCAGGAGTTTCTGGATTCAATGGTTTTATGGAGGAAATAACTAAAGAAATTCCTTTCTAAACAACATTCATAGAATGCCAGCTTTTTATTAATGCGCCTCCTGGAGAATACGATACGATTTACACATCATTGTTTTCTGCAGCTGAAAAGACACATTCCTTGGGGCAGCAAACCATTTTTGTCACCTTCGATCAACCCCTGTACCTCAAGGCGTACGATGTGCTAGTCGAGTAGGAGAGTAGGTAGTATTCAAGCAAAGTATCCCTGCAATTTTCCTGTAATTATCCCTCTTGTTTCGATCTCAAGCAATACCCCTTCCAAGTCAGGTGAAATCCAGCTAAACCAGCAAAATCCAGAACAAAACCAGTGGAAACCAGCACAACACCAGCAAAACCAACCCGAAACCAGTGAAAACCAGCATGAAACCAGTGAAAACCAGCACGAAACCAGTGAAAACCAGCACGAAACTAGTCAAAAACTAGCAAAATCCAGCAAAAAACCAGCACGAAACCAGTGAAACCCAGCAAAATCCAGCACAAAACCAGCACGAAACCAGTTAAAACCAGCACGAAACCAGTAAAACAACACAAAACCAGCATAAAACATGGGGGGATGGTTGTATCTTGAGTGGTAGGGGGAGTGTCTCTTTGTCTCGTCTCTGTTTTGAGCCAGAATGCCTGAATACTACCTACTTAGGAGACCCTGAGCTTCAGCACTTGATCGTACGATTAGGTGGTTTTCACTTACTTATGTCTTTCATGGGAGCTGTCGGATATATTATGGAAGGTAGTGGTCTGTCGGAACTATTCAACACCCTCTATGCTGTCAATAGCACTCGAAAGATTATGACAGGCCATGCCTATGCCAGAGCCATCAGAGGACATACACTGGCTTTCGAGCCATTATGGAGTCGCTAGACTTGCCTTCAGTGACATTCAGTGTTATAGTTGGACGTTGAGCAAGTTTTTTACAGTGGGGATCGAAGTGAGCTTAGAGGCTCATGAGCGAGACTGCGGAAAAGAGATTTTCAATAAATACGTAAACCAACTTCAAAGTCTTGCCATCCTAGGCCCCACTACGAAGTTGTGGATTGAGTATTTCCAAATGGTAACATTGATCTTGAAATTCATTGAATCTGAGCGGATCGGCAATTGGAAACTACACCTTCAAGTCATATATGCCATGCTACTATATTTTCATGCCAGGGGCACTTCCTATATGCCAAGTGCGCGCATTTGTGCTTGCAAGATATACTCACATAAGAGCAGTCCATTCCACCTGAGGAATTTCAATCATTTACTCCCAAAGAGGTGTTCACTATCCGACGTACTAACAAATGCTGGAGCGGAATATGGAGCGATGTGTGTATTGATAATAGCAGCTCACGAATCATATGAAGGTTGAAGGACTATAGAGTAGAGCACGCGGATTCAGTGAGGGCATCTTGACAAGATGGACGTTGGGAATGAGTTCGCTCCAGCATATCACAAATGCAATTGAGGATGTTTGCGGTGTGAACTTTGGAACGACCGAGCAGCATGCGGACAGCCGTCATGCAAGAATAAATCTTGACAATAGTTGTACAAAAAAATATGTTGGAGAATGGTTCCGCCAATAACCACCGCTCCTCAAAACATCAGTACTAATATTAACCAGCACAGGGATTCTAGCAGATCATAAATGCAATTATCACATGTCCAGGGAGGTGGGAACCAATAAGGGCATCAAAGGAATTGTTGGCAAAGGACTTCAAGAGTGTCAGGTTCAAACACATCGACTGAGTAACCATCAGCTCTTCCATCATCATTAATAACTATCCCGTGGTCATAAAGCCAGATACCCTCTTCCAAAGGATGGTTGTCGCCAAGCAGTCAGACGAAGAAGATTTCCTAACTTACGAATTGACTCCATATCCCTTATTCGTTGAGACTGGGATGAGAAAAGGGACAAATTCTGCTTTCTGACACACTTATATAACGAAGATCGAGTGATTTGTTCATTATCTTTTTAGTTTGATGAAAGAAAGTTTTTTTTGAGAAGCTTAGAACTTGGAACACCCGGTATGCATGAAAGTGTTGAACAAGATATTGTTATCCATTTTTGTGATAGAGTATGGTACGGTTCTCGATCTTCTTTATAGTACCTATAGGTCGAGAGGGAGGTCACTTTATAAATGGGTGTACAAATTGAGCTGTTTTACTAAAATACATACCTAATTACACATTAAATTACTTTTAAATACAAATAAATACACTTAAATACTTTTGAATCCAAGGGGCAAACCACCTAGGAATTCTTTGCTAAACTTGTGGAGAATTTAGAGGAATTTTTGAGGCATTTGGAAGAATTCAAAGGAATTTATGAGAAAGTGGGGGAATTTATTGGTGCTAACACTGAGCGTAATAAAAATAGAAAAATACAATTCTTATCACGCACAATTTTGGTGATTTTTATGGAATTTGTAACAGGCATTTGCAGGGAATTTACGAGCAATTTGGAGGAATTTGCAGGAAGTTTGGAGGAATTTGTGGGGAATTTGAAGGAATTTACGGGTAGTTTGAGGAACTGTTTGCACAAAGTCGGGAGGTGGTGGTTTATCGTTTGTTTGAATCCATTTAAATACAAATAAATACATTCAAATACTAATAAATGCAAGTAAATACCCGCATAAAATATGACAAATGCCTACCATGAAGTGCAGTAACCCCGAATACAAAATACAAAATACAAAATAATGATTAGCTGAATACATATATTTACGATGATCGAAAAATATCACGCAGTTCTCTATGATTGGCTGGTATACATGGACCTTGTTCCTTCCAGTTTCTAATCTTGCAGATTCTTCTTGTCAGCTTTCACACAGGTAAATACATGCAACGATTTAACTACATTTGAATACATTTAAATACAGATTAATCTTTAAATACATAAATACCTGCAAATTTATACGAAGCATTCAATATTTCAGCTCAATTTATAGATTGACGCAATGCAACTCTAAGAAGTTAAAGCCCATTCTACAAAAAAGCTTCGGGATCTATATAATAATTAGGTGCTTTTTAGGTGCTAATTAGGGCCTCTAATTAAAAAAAAAAAATAAAAAAATCTTACTATAGGGGACTGCTAGAATTCATAAACTTAGCAGTTCCTTAGTTTTTCTTGATTTTCTCAAAAATTAACGGAGCACCTAATTTTTAATTAGAGGCCCTAATTAGCACCTAAAAAGCATCTAATTATTATATAGATCCCGAAGTTTTTTTGCCATTCCTACACACGAACAAGTAAAGGTAAAGCCAGCAGTCCCCTAATAATTAAAAAAAAAATCTGTAACTCAGTTAATAATTAATCAATTCTATTTTTTCTTCGACTATTTAAGAGCACCTAAAAAGCACCTAATTCTGATACGAGAGAAAATTTTGAAAAAATATTTTTTTACTATAAGGGACTGCTAGCTTTCATAAACCTAGCAGTCCCTAGTTTTTTTTGATTTTCTCAAAAACTGAGGGAGCACCTAATTTTTAATTAGAGGCCCTAATTAGCACCTAAAAAGCACCTAATTATTATATAGATCCCGAAGTTTTTTTGCCATTCTGACACACCAACAAGCAACAAGTAAAGGTGAAGCCAGCAGTCCCCTAATAATTAAAAAAAAATCTGTAACTCAGTTAATAATTATTCAATTCTATTTTTTCTCTGACTATTTAAGAGCACCTAAAAAGCACCTAAATCTGATACAAAAGAAAATTTTGAAAAAATATTTTTTACTATAAGGAACTGCTATCTTTTATAAACCTAACAGTCCCTTAGTTTTTTTTGATTTTCCCAAAAACTGAAGGAGTACCTAATTTTTAATTAGAGGCCCTAATTAGCACCTAAAAAGCACCTAATTATTATGTAGTTCCCGAAGTTTTTTTTCACCTTGGGACTGCTAGGTCTATAGACCTATATGAACAATATTGTTCGGGTTGGAGTGGATGAAAGTGGGTGTACTGGACGTTTTATGTGAAAATACAAGAAAAAAAAACATACTTTTCATTGGGCTCAAGTGAAGAGACCGCTCATCATAAAGTCAAAGATGACTAGTGCATTTTTTAGGAAATTTCATCTACATCAATTTTGTTTTTTTTTTCTTAGGATTTCCGATAGGGTTCCACATTCATCTTTTGACAGGTGAATAATACTGTCTCTATCAACATTGGTTGAAAATTTAGGATATTGGGATTAATTGTGCAAATTTCAAATTTTCAGAAAATTTGATTTTCATTGTCTTCAGGACCAAAAGTATGAAAATCTCATTCTGTTGTCTTTGGGATAAAGGATGATGACCTTTGGCAATCAATCCAACCTTTGTTTAGGTTTATTTTGAGACAAAGTCCATCCTTATTTAGCATCTGTAATTTTTATCAATAAGTTTGTAGTTTTGTAGTATTAATTGTTATGGGGACTTGGTATTGTATTGGACATATATGCAAATAAAAAAAGTCATTTATAATTGCAATGACGTGCGATTTTATAATGGTAGATTAAATACCACGCAATTAGCAATTAAAATAGAGTTAACAAACAAACAAACTGCATTTTAGTATGAAAAGAAGTTAAGAATGAACATAAAAGTACAAATATAAAATATAGACTATGATATGATTTATTAATTTGAATGGTTTTCAGCAAATTAATAAGGTCACCTTGGCTAGAAAAGCTGCAACAGCTTTTTCATTAAAACATGCTAGAATGTTTGGTCAGGCGTTTGCAATACTTTCAACCCTCCAACAATACAAATTGGATTACAATACACATACAATAAATAAGTTTAGGTATACCTTACCCATTTTAAATTATCCTGAATAAAATTTTCCAGATATGAAATTGTTCACAGAACCGGCAGAATCACATTTCTCTCCAACGACGCTGAAACCCTTTGGGGAATGACAAAATATTTCACAATTTCTGCAACTCTGGATCACATGGGATAAATATCACATAACATCCTAATTAACAGCAGACCAGTGTCAACATCGTTTATTATCAATTTGTATTTACACAAAATATTAAATAAAAACTCTTAATATAATCCACAGGTTTCGTAAAACGAGTACGAATTGCTGCCGCTATTTTTACACCACGAGGATCAAACGTCAACGAATACTGTTTAATTCTTAAATAATATTAGTTGAAATATAAACAATATTATCGTTGTTTAATTGAAGGTTACTCGACCGCGTATAATATTATATTACTCGTGACGAAATAAATGCTTTCCGGCTTTCATTGATTATTACTGCGCTTCCCGACGCTTTCAGGCTGACTGAAACCACCACTGAAAGAAAGCTCAAAAAAGCCGCTACAGCAGGAGGCTAATGGCTTTAATGATTTCCTGCGTTTCTGGCCGATAAGATTAGGATGGCAACTTTTAGAACCCAATCTATTGAATTGTGTAACGTAATGGGTTCGATAAACAAATTATTAGTGGGCGTGTATAGGTACCTAATTTAAGTAATTATATTGTCTGATGAGTCACAATGCACAATACGTAAGAAATTGGAATTTTGGAAATAAGCTCAGTTTTTAATTTGAAGCAAGTTGTTATGGGTATAATTATGAAATCAAAATTATTTAAGCTTCACAATATTGTTTGGCTTGTGTTTATCTTTAATTTACTTAATGAACATTCAATATTCTGGCTTTTCTATGTTTAGGTATCATCTGCAATGCATCAAATTGTTGATCAAATGTTTATCAGAAGCTTATTTGCTTCACCTACCTAATTATACAATGATAGTATTTATTTAACAAATACGTACCGACAAGATTATCTCTTATCAAATCATTCAATTAATTATTATCTCATGTAAATATTGCGTATTTGTGATAAAATTTGTGGCACTTACACATTTTAACTTAAACGTTGTTGCTTCAAAAAATCAGAAACCCATAATAAAGCACAAAGCTCACTACACAAGTCACACAATATGGATCCCAGTTGCAACTGACAAAATCCCTAAGCATTCTTTCATTAAAATATATACCTGGTGTAGACGACCCTTTGGGCTTTGGGCCGCCGGAAACCCATCAGCACGAAAGTCATTACATACGAGAAGGATATGAGTATGCATGGGTTCCCTTGGTATTCAACACCGTGATAATAATTATTATGATATATCACGTCCATATGAAGACAATCAAATTTATTATCATTTGCCACCAGGATATGAAGTTTTATGATCGAAACTTTTGACGTCATCATCGTTTATCAAAATTCCTAAAATAATTCACAGAAAATTTAAGGCGCCACTTCTAGGTGATAACATTGATATAAACAAAATTATTCAGGATCCCACATGAATTTGGAGGCCCGCCAATTTACGTAATTAATCAGCCTTCGAATTGGGCTAAGGTCAAACAAATATTGAAAGTGTTTTCAATCACGTGCCAGCTTTAGTTGAAATGTGTTAGTTGTAATGTTGATACACTTTTCCAATATATTCTAAACAAATTTTAAAGAAAAATATCGCATAGGTAGTGTTAGATCGGGAGACTTAGGTGGCTACTCCAGTAGGCCTCCTTGTTCTTTTATTGGAAACATAGAAGATTACTCTATCCAAATTTAGTTTCTGAGTCCGGGAATGCCGATTTTGTTTTCTATTAGCGGCCCTCGTGGAAATTTTTTGCATATTTAGAGCCAGGGAGAATAAAAAATCGATCATCCCTCATCTCTACACAGTGGTGGAATTGTTTCCGATCACCAGCGATTAGCGAAAGATTTCCTAAGTATCTTTATACACTAATACACTGATAGTTTATTTTTGTTGAGTCTAATAGGAATGTTCACTATTTTTCAATTATAATAAAAAGTGGTGGTTCTAGGTCCACAAAACACATATTAAACGTTAAAACATCTAGAAACCATTCATTTTTCCTAATAAATCGAAAACAAAAGAACGAAATTAGCGAGGCTAGCAAAACGACCCCTTGCGGCGAGAGTAGCGCTTGTGACGTCACTGTGCGGAACAAATATTCAGCTGGCGCGTTGGCGAGATTTGTTTACAAGCTTACATTTAATTTATTGTGTTGCTGATCATTGCTTTATCCCAAGAAGCTTCATTCACTCTATAATTATCTGTGTTTGTGTAATGATGAGAGACTCAAACAAAGTTAAACCGAGTCGAAAAAAGTGGTACCTACTGTAAATAACTATATATCACTATTCAAATTCAATACCTACGTTTGATACGTCTGTTTTAATTTTACTCCACTGGACTATATGGGGCAGATTCGATCCAAGTCTTGACACATGAATAAATAAAAATTCTGATACCATATTAACGTTTACAGTTGGCAGATTATGTAAATCAGCGTTTTGAGAACCTCCTTCTATTTTAGCCACAGTAGCCAATTCTCGACATTGACATCTTATAAAATTTCAACAATAGAAACACATGTGACACCTACATACTTCTAAATACAAACAAAGCACCTAGATTTGTGTTTAGGCGTGGAAGAACAATTTATCAAGCCGAAAGTGAGTTCTCCAGGCCGAAAGTGACAGGAGAACTGTCACTTTTGGCCCACTCTATAGTAAACAAATGTAAAGTGACATTTTCGAACCTTCAAACCAGTGAGAAATGTGGAAATTACATATGTTTCAAAATAAAATATTAATCACCCCTTATCTTTACACAGTGGTGGAACTGTTTTCGATTACCAGCTTTAGTGAAAGATTTCCTACAAGAGCCAAGAATAATAGAATATTGATCACTCTGTATCTTTATACAGTATACATTTTTGTTAGGTCAAATTACAGTGGGTAAAATTGTTTTCTATTACCGGCTCTCGTGAAACATTTTCTGCTTTAAGAGCCGAGGATAATGGAATATTGATCAACCCTTATCTTTACACAGTGGTGGAATTGTTTTCGATTAGCAGCTTTCGTGGAAGATTTCCTACAAGAGCCGGGAATAATAAAATATTGATCACCCTGTATCTTTTCACAGTGGCTTATTTGTGTTGAGTCAAATTACAGTGGGTAAAATTGTTTTCTATTACCGGCTTTCGTGAAAAAATGTCCGCATCAAGAGCCGGGGATAATGAAATATTGGTCACCCCTTATCTCTACACAGTGGTAGAATTGTTTTCAATCCCCAACCTCAGTGGAAGATTTCCTACAAGAGCCAGGAATAATAGAATATTGATCACCCTGTATTTTTGTACAGTGGCTTATTTTTGTTGAGTCAAATTACAGTGGGTAAAATTGTTTTCTATTACCGGCTTTCGTGAAAAAATGTCTGCATCAAGAGCCGGGGATAATGAAATATTGGTCACCCCTTATCTCTACACAGTGGTAGAATTGTTTTCAATCCCCAACTTTAGTGGAAGATTTCCTACAAGAGCCGGGAATAATAGAATATTGATTACCCTGTATTTTTGTACAGTGGCTTATTTTTGTTGAGTCAAATTACAGTGAGTAAAATTGTTTTCTATTACCGGCTCTCGTGAAAAATGTTCTGCATCAAGAGCCGGGGATAATGAAATATTGGTCACCCCTTAGCTTTACACAGTGGTGGAATTTTTTTCGATTACCAGCTTTTGTGGAAGAATTCTTAGAATAGCGGGGAATAATAAAATATTGATCACTCTGTATCTTTATACAGTGGCTTATTTTTGTTGCAAGAGCCGGGGATAATGAAATATTGATCACCCCTTATCTCTACACAGTGGTAGAATTGTTTTCGATCACCAGCTTTTGTGAAAGAATACCGCAGTGATCACTTTGGCGCACAAAATATGGGCCAAATGTAGATACTATAAATTAGTAAATTTAAATGAAAACAAATGAAAAAGTTAAGATAACTGAAGCTAGTACGATAACAAAACGTTTCAGATGGTATAGCAGGTACAATTAACCAAGTTAATCCTGGGTACTGGCTGTGGTTAAGTTGGTCAAACAAATCTTAAGGTTCAAATTCACAGTCCGAAAGGCTTACCCGTCCAACTAAAAGGCTTAGGCTGGGGTGTGATAGCCTTACAGTTACAATCTCCGCTACAATTAAACGTGTATTGTTGTGTCACAATGTAACCGTGAGTAAAAACCCTCTTGGATAGGGTTTTGTTTGCCTCGAAAATACTCTGGAAATCTGGATCGATGTCTTGATTCGGAATCCTGGAGTGAGTGAGATGATCTTTACTCTACTCTTTAGGGAACCTTTTCACATGGATGGTGTGAAAATCTGAATTAATCGGTGATTTTATAGCACTCTACGAAAATGTAAGGCAACGTAAGGCAACTCAATGTGCTATAAATTCAATAATTGAGAATATTAAGGTCAAAATTCCACAAAGACGAAGATAAAATTTAACTTCAGAAAGACCCTAATAACACGAGAATAATAAAATATTGATCACTCTGCATCTTTATACAGTGGCTTATTTTTGTTGAGTCAAATTACAGTGAGTAAAATTGTTTTCTATTACCGGCTTTCGTGATGAAATTTCTGCATCAAGAGCCGGGGATAATGAAATATTGGTCACCCCTTAGCTTTACACAGTGGTGGAATTGTTTTCGATTACCAGCTTTCGTGAAAGATTTCCCACAAGAGCCGGGAATAATAAAATATTGATCACTCTGTATCTTTATACAGTGGCTTATTTTTGTTGAGTCAAATTACAGTGGGTAAAATTGTTTTCCATTACCGGCTCTCGTGAAAGATTTCCTACGTTAAAAACTAGAGATGATAAAATAATGATCAACCTGTATCTTTATACAGTGGTAGAATTAGTAGTAGGTGCCACTCAAAACTACCACGATTGAATTTCAGTACACATCTAAAAAAAGGAAGTAAAACACACTTCTTGTCCAGCAACTCTTTAGCTAAAACCATGTTATTTTCCACATAAATCTATTCAAAGTTAGAATTTTTTTTTTTATTATTACGTACTATTTCTATATTATTTACAATTTTATGGCTAAAGGGTACAAAATAAATATATTTATCATCAAAGCAGTTAAAGAGCATAATATAGAAACTTACAAAACAAATCTAACTTACATAATAAAGCACTGTTATTCTTCAAATATTGAATTATAAACGTTATGAGACTGGCAAGTAAAAACTACAAATGTCATTAAATAATATGAAAAACGCTTCATGGCATCATTTTCAACTGAAAATATTAGCATGGCACGTAAAAATAATATACAAAGATTACTTTTTATAGTTCCTAACTTCGATAACCACCGGCTTAGAGCTATCATATCTCCGGTCACTTTCATAAAACTTCACACTGGGCGATTCACCTCTATTACCGCTTCTATAGTGACTTTTGGTGACACTCTTGGTTTCACTAGACTCGATAGTTTCTAAGGCTCTACCATCTTTACTAGGAATCGTTTTTTTGCTTACAGTTTTCACTGTGTTGGTGACGCTGGGACGATGAGGATCATCGCTTCTTGTAGTCGTATGATAAGTTTCGGAAAAGTCTGTGCTAGAAGTACTACCGCGACGTAAAACTGAGTGGCCTGGTGAGGATGTAGATATTATATGAGAGTCTCTCAATCTGAAAATATTTATTTAGGTATTATTAAATATGTAGGTATTAATCTTAATATACTACCTTGTGGGTGGCTCAAAAACATCATTATTTCCATTAAAATTCCTTGAAGATGATTTCATTGTTTTAGTACTATAATTTTTTATTCTCCAATCTTCATCTCCGTTGACAGTCTTATTGTTATAGAAATCGGGTGAGCGGCTATTCAAATTGGACGTATAAACCCTTTTAGTTTCAACCCTTTCTCCATAGTTCTTATTTGTATCAGGATATCTTCTAACACCATCCACACTATCACCGTTTCTTTGGAAACGAGACGTGTAGATATCATCATTTATGTCCTAGAATAAATCATTAGATGTGTTTACATTGAAACTAGTTCCACTTACTTTCTGGCTTCTATTGAGGCTTGAAATAAGTCCAGGACTCTTGAGCCCGCTAGGGTTTTCGTTCAGTCTGGAATTCGAAGTGTACATGCTTGAAGTGTTGCGTTTCGGATCCAAACCGCCGTGGACTATGAGGCTTTTGCTACGGGCCAAGTTCGATTTGTAGGTGCGTGCCGGTTTAGCTGGACCTGAAATTTATCGATAAAAATACAAAAACTTTCAACAACCGAGTGACAGGGTGTAATAAAAAGCTGGGAGTGGACGAGATATTTCCAGCACTCCTACAACTTGTAGATATAACCAGAAGCAGTAACGCGATGGGATATATACCTAAAATATTGAGAACAACAGCGCTGCCTGAAACGTATCAACAAGTGTCCCATAACCATACTTATTCGGCGAAAATAAATAACCGGGAAATGTAAATATTAGTGGAAATAAGGGTGAAAAATCGATTTAAAGGATGTGAAAGTGATTTGTGGTGTTGCAGAATTTTTAATAATGGAAAATACGAGTCTCGTAAGTGTTGGCAATTGATATTTATTCGAAAGTAAACAAACATTTTCATCAATAGTTAGGGCTTTTTAGACGACCTTCGAAAGCTAAATAAAATAGATTTCGATCCTATTAGTAGAGCTTTATTATCCTAAAACCACCCTGTCATCTAAATACAAAAAAGTATTACCCCGAAAAATATACCTTTGTTCAACACCCACATATTGTTTCGCATCCAATCAAAGAGGTAGAAATCTAGTAAAATCAACCTAACAATCACTGAAATATATTAATCTTCAGGTATAAAGCTTTCTAAATACCTACCCTCACAAATACCTGAATTAATTAGTGAATTTATTCAAAATCTCCAGTTACGTATTAAGGTAAAATTTGAACGTAACAATTCTAGACGAGAAAGCAGACGCATTATGCGCCTGGGGCCTTTGACAATACATCCCATGTGGCTATTCGGAGAGCAGTAACGAGAAGGGGAGTCGACGACACAATATCTCGATAGATGGTAAAATAGATAGATAGATGGATTGATGGATGGATGAACTACTAGGAGCCATCGAGATAATTGTCTCCTCATATCGTGGTGGAAGGGGCTGCTGAATGAGCAATAACTAGATTCACATGGGATGGAGCTAGCGAGGGAGGTTGACTTGCGTTCCTCAAGCTTTCCAGGGATGATCTGATTGAAACATAATAATTTTGAGAAACGCTTCAAAGTAGTGATAAAAAGCAGAGAAGAATGAGAAGGAAACACCACAACCATTCTTACAATGCAACAAAAACGCCATAAAATGGCATACTGATGGGTTAAGAACTGAACAAGGGACCGGAGCTGGAGTAGGTACTCCAGCTCCGGTCTTAGGCCTGAAATCTCACATTCATTAATGCGATCAGAAAAGTGGTCCTAGACGTGACCCTAAGCTTATCTTTTCATAACACATACAGTAACCAAGTGCCATGTTTCTGACGAACCTTCTATATCGGACCATCAAATGATTAGGATCGACTTAAAGGTAACAGCCAGTAAAACAGAAGAAAGGAGAATTCTAAAGCTCATAAACCGGGATTTATACGCAGAAACTCTCAGCATGCGCTTAGAAGAACTCCCAAACACCATTGAGACAGAAGAGGAACTAGAAATAGCCTCACATAGTCTAATCAATGCAATCAAAAACTCCTTTCAAAACTGCTGTCCTGTAAAACAAATGGCAGTTCACAGGGACGTGCCTTGGTGGAACCGGGAATTAAGTGACCTTGAAGCAAAGGCCAGAAAGTCTTTAAATAAGGCTAAAAGTACTGGAGACTGGGAAAACTACAGGACAGCCCTAACAGAGAACAATATATTGTAAACTGTACAATTCTGTTCTTAAGTTAATTACTTTTCTGTTAGATGGCGCTAGGGTTGTTGATTTGTCAACACCAGTTGGTGTAGGAAAAGGGATTATGGGAAAAAGTTCTGTTCGGTTGTTGTCATTAAAAATTATAAATGTCATTTAATTACGTCCTGTGAAAGTTCAGTTTGCACTATTAAAAGTTAATAATAAATAAATATACTGTTGTATTTTTGAAGATCCACGAACCTTCCAGAGGTTATGGGCCCAGAACAGCCGGAAAAATAGTCAATTACTGTGGCATTTGCAGGAAAAAGTTTGTGAGGTTAGAAGGTGAAGTTTTGAGCGAAGGCAGGAAAAAATGCACAAGACGGAACAAGGTAAAATGGCGGAAAAGAATCTCAATATGAATTTTTGTGTCAAACCATTCGATGGAGTAGAAGCCTATTCGAACTGGAATTTCAGGATCAAGTTACTGCTGGAGCAGCAGGAAGTTTTGTCGCACAGCCTGATACTAGTGATGCTGATGAGTTGAGTTGAGAAAATGGAAAAAATGTGATGTAAAGGCTAGGGCGTTGATAATACAGTGTTTTTCAGAAATCTGTTAAAACAAAAAACACAGCAGCTGAAATAATGGCAAGCCTGGAAAATACATATACGAAAAAAGGCATTTCTATGCAGGTAATAGGTATCTACTACAAAAAAGGCTTAGAGGCTTGAAATATGGGAGAACGAACACCACTGAGTAAATTTCTTACCGAATTTGACAATACAATATGCAGAGATAAATACTATTAAACTGTCAAGAATGGAATATCTGTTTATTTTTTTGTCAACAAAATTTAGCCAACCAAGCGCCATGTACTATATTGGAAAAATCACCATTTACTAGGTTTGCATCGACGCTACAGACACCTACTTTACATAGAGCTTTAGGGCATTTTAATGATAGATGGCGCCCTGTTAGCATTACTGCCGGGTTTTTTAAATTTTATTATTCTGGACTCTGGGACATTATTGTTTGCTTAAATTGGTGCTTTGTTAATCACATCAAAAGACAGTTTCTTTATCGATTGTTAAGGGTATCCTTAACATATTTATTCAAAGCTCTGATTGATGTTGAATCGAACCTGTCATTTATCTAATCGACAAGGATAGAAGTAGATCATCCAATCTATAAAGTTTGAAGGTCTCGTGAAACACAAAAAACAAATTTGTAATCAGTTAAAAACACTGAACAGGAAGTAAGACGCACAGCGTCTACAAAATTTCTGTCAAAAAACTACTCGAACGGCATTGGTCTTCTTAAAAAAGCCAAACGGAGACTAAATACTGTAACAACAACAAAGAAAGTCTAGAGGTCTTACTGAAGAACTCATTTTCCAGGATCAATCGTCGAAAACTCTCAGAACCAGCCAGACTTCCAAAGCAAAGGACTTAATAGTGCTATGCTAGGCAAAATAGAATTAAATGGGCGATAGCCAGCTTTAAAGTCGTATAAATCCCCAGGTATTTTTCTAGCATTGCTGCAAAAGGGTTACAATATCCTAAAGGTTTACCTCCAAATAATATTCAAACCTAGTCTCACCCTGGGTTACGTTCCAATAACCTAAATGGAGGCTGGTGTGACATTCATTTTAAAGGCAGAGCGCCGACCAGAGGATGAGCCAAAACATTTTTTATCCTTAAATCCATGGAGAAAGCATGAGATCAATATATCAGAAGCGAAATTCTAAAAAGGACCAGACAAACCAATGAAGGAATCACTGTCCTAGGCTATGCAGATGATCTGGCAGTAATAATTAGAGGCAAGCATGAAGGCATAACAGGTCGAATGCAAAAGTGCCTTGAATATAATCAAAAACTAAAGTCAGGAAGAAGGACTTTCCATAGGTAAATCCCAGCAGAACGACCTTAGTTCCATTTACGGAAAGAAGTGAGCTGGATCTACGAGCCCCCACTCTAAACGGAACATTATTACTTCTCTCGGATGAAGTTAGGTATTTAGGGGTCACGCTGGACCGCAAACTTACTTGGAACAATCATCTGAACAAAACAATATCACGAGCTACAGCGGCCATTTGGACGCAAACTCGTGGGAAAAACATGGGGATAAGACCTGCTATACTGGATTTACCAAACGGTTATCAGACCCATTGTCACCTACGCCTCGTTGATATGGTGGCCAAAGACTGAGCAAATTACTGCACAGAAGAGTCTGCGTAAAGTACAGAGGCTAATCTGTCTAGGAATAACAGGGGCTTGCCCTACCGCAGCCTTGGAGGCACTGCTGAATATGCCTCCTTTTCACTTATGTGTGAAAAAAGGGCAAGAATAGACGCTTACAGGCTATTCGAGACAAAAAGATTCAAACCTGGTGATCTGAATGGACATTTACGCATTTTTCAGGCTATAAGGCTAGAGTGTCAAAGTGGACCAGTAGATCATGTGATAATATCACTGAAGTGGTTCTCAAATAACGCCAATCATGGATGAACGCAAAGCTACCGCAAGTGGACAAAGCGCCATTGTAGTACACAGATGGTTCGAAGCTAACGGAAGGAGTTGGACTGGGAATAACTTGACTAAACTTTAAACTCTCCTAAGCAATGGGAAATACGCCAAATTGTTATCCAATTTTCTCCCCTTACACTATTTAATTAATTAATAATCATCATCTACCCAGTCTTTAGTACAAAAACTATCAAAATGACCACTCGTTCAGTGGTAGCAACTACAGTACGTGACTCTATTACCCACAGTGGTCAAGAAACCTCGGCAACAAGTGTTCCATAACCACACTTATTCGGCGAAAATAAATAACCGGGAAAATGTAAATATTAGTGAAAATAAGGGTGAAAAGTGATTTAAAGGGTGTGAAAGTGATTTGTGGTGTTGCAGAATTTTTAATTATGGAAAATACGAGACCCGTAAGTGTTGCCAATTGATATTTATTCGAAAGTACTCTCTCTCTTTAAACTCTCATAAGCAATACGCCCACAATAGTTCAAGCCGAGGTACTGGCTATAAACATCTGTGCCCAAGAGTGCCCTAAAAGGAGCCTCCTAAAAGAACACATCTACACATTGTCCGACAGCCAAGCAGCTCTAAAGGCTCTAGGAGCTATCAAGTGCACCTCGCAGTTAGTTTGGTAGGGACAAAATAACCCTGATGTGGGTAGCAGGACACCAGGGAATAGAGGGCAATAAGGAGGCAGACCGTCTCGCAAAGGAAAGCGCTCTAACACCTTTTTAAGGCTCAGAGCCTTTCTGCGGACTAATGAAATGCCACACCTCCAAAAAACTGCACAAATGGGAAAGGGACCGAATGCTGGTTCACTGGAAATCCCTCCCGGGTATGAGACAGGCAAAACGGTTCATATCCATCTCAGCAAAGAGATCTGAACGATCTAAAAGATCAAAAGATTTTATATCACTGAGTAAAAGTAAAACCTTCAAAGCTGGATGAGGTGTTTTGAGTGAGAATTCTATCAACTGAAGCACCATGGATCTATGCAGATCGCATTATTCATTCATTCAAAAGGCCACAAATCCTGAAAATTATTTTCAAATATTCTGGAATCTCTCGGAAAAATAAACGGTTGAAGCGAAAACAAATTAATCAGAGCAACTTAAGATAATTATATTCATCCAGAGTGCTACTGAAATTAGAAAAAACAAGTCTTAACAATATTACTTACCTTCGTTGACAAATCTTGGAGGAGTCACAGTATTAATAATCGAAACGTTGATGGTACTATTGGACCGATTATTCCCGTTGAGTCTGGTCGGCGGTTCGTACTTGTTCAAATGCCTCGGCAAAGTCTGCGAGTTCCTCTCTTCATCAACCGATCGATTCACCAATCTGCTGGTAGATTTGCTGAATCTTCCGAGTGTACTTTGCGACCTGCAAAAGGCGATTGATACAGTGAAACTGCGGTACCGAGTCCGGTGTAGAGTTTTAGTAAAATGAGGTGCGGAGAAGGGATTAAAATAATTATGCTCCGTATTTGGTAGTGCGGTTGTCCCCGATGGAGCCGGTATACGGAAATGACCGAGATAATTGAAAAAAATGTGGGCGGAAATGGAAAATTGAATAGTTTTTTTTGCAATGAGGAAATTTTCAAATTTAGCAAAGAAATTTGGAACATGAAAATAATATAGGTAATGACTTATTCGCCCACCAAAGTATCGATTTCCAATTATTATAGACAAACACAAAAGAAATATTAATTATTCATGGTGATTGGCTAAAAAAGGAGAGCAAAATTGTTTATTAGCCCACGTTTCACTATTATTGATTCCAAGCGAAAATCTTCTGTTTGGTGACGTTAGTGTAGACGTGGGTGATTGAAAAATATTTTGATCCGATTCTTTTAAGGATTTGTTGTGATTATTAGTGGAAAAGGTGCAACATTTTTATGAGAATATAAATACTAAAATTTTAATATTTACAACCTCCAAATATGATTAGCAGTCAAGCTAGTGCGAGATTATTACAAAAGTGACATAATTTTCAAAGATTTACCTTTTTCGCCTATGTAAAACATACCTATATCAGGGCATTGAAATAAAAATTCTAGATTATTCTAAACGAGTTTTATTAGGTTTAAGAAATATACAAGGTGTTGAATATCTTATATTTATGTGTTATCACAGAGGTTAATACAAAATTACATATTTCCTCACTATAAACTTATTGTAAGCAGAAGACCTTGGTCTTTATACAAAATACTAAGGAAATGATAAATATTACTATATATGGGGAAAAAATAAAACATAAAAGCCCCATGGTCAATGTGTTTGTTTCATTGAACGGACAAGACAGAAGCAATAATAATAATGTTCCTTTGAAGTGCAGATTTTAATTCATAATTTTACGTGTTTGATTTTGATTTGATTCCAGTATTATTCATAATTATATGAGAACACTTTTCAGAAGCACCTCAATTTACACGGAGATTCGTGTAAAAATGTATTTGACTTGTTACGAAAACTGCGTTATTCATAAAGCGGTAAACATAAAAGAGAAAACTACTCAGTAACGTACTTATTATATGTATTTTTTTTTTTTAGTAATTACGTAGCAAGAAAACAATAAATGTGCCCACACGATGCACGAGACACAATTGTTTATAGGTAATAATTAGCAATTAATTAATATTCTAGTAAATATGACAAAATAATAAATTGTGCATAATCTCGGTGCCCCAAGCAACAAATATATCCCCCTCAAAGCATAATTTAATATTCCTACCTTCTGTCGCGATCATCATCTCTTGGTCGTCTAGAACTCCTAGCAGGTTTTACTCCATCGTATTTATTTTCCCTACCATAGATGCTACCACCAAATGGATCTTCACCAAGATAATATCTAGAATTTTCTGCTTAATTGTGTATCTTTTAATAACAAGGAAGTTACTTACCTCTGTACTGGTTGCCTATCCATACTATGTCCGATGTTATTATCAATCACGTGTCCTTGTTGATAAGAAGGGCTAGGCGAACGTTTGGCCCTTTGCTGTTTGGCCTTACGTTCAGCGCTTGCTGAACGTATTTTGTTGACTAGCTTGCGAATAGACTGACCTTTAAAAAAAAACATTCCAAGATGAGAATTAATTTGCTAATTTTTATTGCCTAGAGATTATTCTGTAAGAACTTACTAAATCTATGCAAGTTTCAAAGAAAAATCTAATAGAATATACTCTATACAGTTAATCAACAAGTGGCTAATAATGTTCAGTATGTAAATGACAAAGTTTTATTATTCTCAAAGTCAGATGTCAGGTGTAGATTTACGAAACGTGTTTCTTTTCTATTTAGTTGACTTCGGGCAATAGAATTTATGCTTGAATGTTTATTGTTTAGTCAAACTGAAAGGCTCACTCAATTACTCGAATTCATCAGCTGAGCTCTTGATACAATAAACTGAATAAATAGCCTCATGAATTATTCATTGATTAAAATTAAAGATGCTGCGGGCTATTAAAAATCTGTGTTACTTTCTTTGTATTTTTTTGTTGCTTCAAGTTTCAGGACATAATTAATCATAATCAGAGAAAAAAATTATTATATCTATACTCTGTTTCCTTTTCGTTCGTCACCCTAATTCCTGTTGTTACGGTAAATTTATCATTTACGTAACGTGTTCCATCTCTTCTTATTTTCATTATAAAGTTGTATTTCTGCCATTTCAGAATCAGCAAAAAAAAAAAATCATAATCTGAGTAATCTAAAAATATCCACAAAGTTCGAAATAATACCAGTACTGCCATCTATCCATCATGTGCATAAAATAAAATGCAAATATCTATTATTAAATGAAGGTACTGCCATCTAGTACCTGATGGATTTATTTTTCAAAGTATGATTCCACGTGGTTTTTCATTGTGAAGTGAATATGGTCTTTTGAGTGTAGTTTTCTGATTGGTTGATCTGTAGCAGCTAAGTGTAAAAAAACACAGGATTGTTTTCCTATAGGGTTTAGTTTCTGGAACCTTCTCTTTTTCTGGCAGTGCTCTAGCGGGCGAGTCATTTTTATTTTTATACTTTTGCCTTCATATTTTTAGATTCTCCCTTATAAATTTTTCAATATATTTTGCCATTAGTGCATATTATCATATCATTGTTAAGTTTTCACCTGATGAATCTTATCTTATCTATTCTTGAAATATAAATATTATATTTTAAATTTTTTATCTAATTATGGGCCTCCATTTTGTGTGAGATGCCAATTGGTGGTGCTACGTTTTTCTGAGGTGAGTCAATTCAGATTTTTGGGCTAATAAATAGGAACTGCTGTTCTGGTTTTCAGAATCAATTGTTAGTGTGGGAATATTGGACCATTTGCTCTAAATAGAGTCGGTGAAAACCAAATTTGTGGGTTCATCCCTATCAACTCTTTATTGGATCCAGGCAGAGGCCTGTATAGCCATTTTCTGTTTGACTCCATCAATTATTATCTTCTCGAGGTGAAGGGTGATGAAAAAGGGTGTAATTCTTTAAAATAGAAATCCAGAAAAGTCGAAAATTCATTTAAAAAGTTTTAATTAAAACATCTCAAGAATTTTGACATATTCTGGATTTGATTGATTCCACCTCAGGTTTATTTTGTAGTGTAGTACCTATAGTAGCCACCTTGATTTAAAAGGAAAATTTTGTCGATTTGGGGGAGAATCTAAAGATTTAATTTCTTATTCTTTTTATCTTATTTTGTTCATATTCTTGCCTGTTATTGCTACTACCAGAAAAGCAGCTCGTTACAAGTTGAGCAGCAATTTTCCTGTAATATTGATATTCAGATGACGACATAAAGTTAACTCGAAGGGCTGCAGTTATACGAGCCCAAAGGGCCGGAGTTATACGAGCCCGAAGGGCCGGAGTTATTTTATTCACGAGCCCGAAGGGCCGGAGTTCAGCCTATAGACTATAATGCTATAATTCTACTAATTGAATGGTACCAACTACCCAAGGATGATACACACCTACAGGATTGCTTATCAGCCTGACGACTTAGTTATGACGTCGTCAATGGTGACACACCAAATACAACGCAATCCTGTTGGTGTGTAACATCCTTGGGTAGTTAGTACCATTCGATTAGTAGAATAATAGTATATAGACTAAGCCCCGGCCCTTCGGGCTCGTGATTAAAATAACTCCGGCCCTTTGGGCTCGTATAACCTCGGCCCTCTGGGCTCGTGATTGAAATAATTCCGGCCCTTTGGGCTCCTATAACTCGGAACCGACTAAGGAGACTGGCTATTCGCACCAGGTAACTCATACCTAAAAAATCAAGTCAACCTACTCAACAGAAGAATCCTGAGTAAATTTAGTGACTGCTAAAATGAATCCTGGAGGCAGTCCTTTCAACTGGAAAAGACCTTTTCCAACTTGCAAAGAGCCTCACAAAAGGATCTCGGAAAAGCACACCTCACCTTAAGGTTGACAACACCACAATAACCGATCCAGTCCCAGAAGCGGACATCTTTGCGGATAGTCTCGAAGAGCAATTGCGGAACAATCCTCCATTATACCCCCTACAAGACCGCAACGTAAACACCACCATTAGGATCATGCTAGAACAACCATAGGCACACCCTACGCCACCTCCAAACGTCACAGCCTAAAGCGTGAGGGAGACCATAGCATGTCTCAAATGCAGAAAATCCCCCGGTATAGACTGAATCTCCAACCTGGCCATTAAAAGACTACCGTAGCAACAGATTGAAGACCTAGCCAAGATCGTCCAAGCCACTCTCCGCCTCTCCCATTTCCCATCAAAATGGAAAGAGGCATGCTTGCAAGGAAACAAGGCGAATCTAGTACCAACCCTAGTAGCTGTCGCTCAATCAGCCTGCTCCCGGCCCTTAGCAAAGTGGCAGAGCGACTCATCAACAGAGATTTATAGGACACGTCTCTCACCTACACCTACTACCCAACGAGCAGAAGGGTTTCAGAGCGCAGCATTCCACATCCCATGTAACTACCTGACTAACCCAAACCGTAGTAAAAGGCGCTAAGCGCAAATGGAGACAGGGGCAGTACTCATAGATATCTCAAAAGCCATCGACAAGATGTGGCATCAAGGCCTCATTACCAAGTGAAACTAATTGACTCATTTCTATCGAACCGGAACTTCTGCGTCACTCTGAACAACAACACCACCAACCAAGCACGATCCACGGCCAGACCAGTACTTGCCGGCGTACCCCATAAGACTCACCTCTTAGCCCCCTACTGTTCAATCTTTTCAAGACAGATATACCAAAAAGGGAAATATCACCATCAGAAATTAACTACGCACTCCAACAGATGAAAAACGGCAAGAGTCCGGGAGAAGATCGAATAACACCGGAAATGCTGAAGATGGGTGGAAAAATACTAACAGAGACAATAAGAAGGCTGTTAACCAAATGTCTGATAGAGGGAAAAATCCCGGAATCATGGAAAAATGCCGAAGTCGTGATAATATACAACAAAGGGCTCTAATATAGAAAACTATAGACCAATAAGCCTAATATCACACCTATATAAACTTTTCACTAGAATTATCAACAATCGACTGACTGCGAAGCTAGACTCCTACCAACCAGTAGAACAAGCAGGCTTTCGAAGGGGCTTTAGCACTACAGACCATCTGCAAACAATTAGGGCAGTCATCGAGAAAGCAACAGAATATAACATACCCCTACATCTGGCGTTTGTAGACTACCAGAAAGCCTTTGACAGCGTTGAAACCTGGTCTTTTCTAGCGGCAGTGGAGGACGCAAGAATCGATTCGAGATACTCTACCCTTATTAAGAATATCTATGATAAGGCAACCTTTCACGTTAAAATAAACGACGACGATCTTGAAACAGACAAAATATCACTTGGCAAAGGAGTACAACAGGGGAATACCATCTCTGCCAAGCTATTTACCCTAGCACACAACAACAAACAAGGGCCTAAACATCGATGAAGCATACCTCAATCACCTCAGATTTGCAGACGATATAGTCTTGATGAGCACCAACCATAGGCTCCAAAACCATGGGGGCAATGAGTGTAGTGAGTAGGTACAAACATATTGAGTTCCTGATCTTAATATTCCTAACTATTTATTTTTATATCAAACTTGTGTGTTTTATGTTTTTGTTGTTTTTGCTATAACCACTTTGACAAACAGTTTGACAGATACCCAATACCCAACATAACGGATCTCTTGAAGAAGCTGGGACGCTGCCAGTATTTCACTGGCTTAGATTTAGCTAGCGGCTTCCACCAGATCTAGACAACGACATCGCATTCAGCACAGAAAATGGGCATTATAAGTTCTTGCGCATGCCCTTTGGTTTGAAGAACGCGCCGGCTACATTCCAAAGAGTTATGAATGATATTCTATATTCCAATATATTGAGCAACTTCAACACCGAAAGATGGAACATCCAATCAATAATAGTTATTCATTATACAAGGAAAAAAAGTATTAGATTTTAGGGCGAGATGTGGTTTGCCTCCCGTCGCGAAGCGGAGGGAGACAACAACAAGGTGGTCAAAAAGCGCTGGGAATGCTGGAACTAAAAATGAACCTGAACAAGAACAAAATAATGAGCAAAAATAAATGTAACATCACCATAGAAAATGTAGAACATTACATATACTTAAGACATAATATCAAGCTTGGCAAACAAAACCAAACGGCGGAAATCAAACGCAGGATCCATTTGGCATGGGTGGCATTCGGAAATATGAACTTTATTTTTAAAGATAGAAAGGTATCCATAAAACTAAAAAAGAAAGCCTACGACAGCTGTATTCTGCCGGTTCTCATCGACGGCTTAGAAACTATGGTAATAACCCGAAGAGCAGCTGAGCAATTCAGAGTCGCACAGAGAGCCATAGAGAGAATAATGCTGGAAATCTCCTTAAAAGATAGAGTACGAAATGAACAGGTACCTGATAGAACCAAAGTGACAATGGATCGGACATGTGGCGAGACTAGACCCAGATAAATGGACCCAGAAAACGACACTCTGGAGACCAAGAGGAACAACAAGAAATGTGGGACGACCGGAAAAATGATGTATAGACGTTGTCAAAACGATGGCAGGGAGACAATGGATGAGATAAGCGGACATGGAAAAACTTGGAAGAGGCCTATATTCGACAATGGATGGACACGGGCTGACGAAGAAGAAGAAGATACCAAAAGGTAGAGAATTCACTCTTCAAGCCTACGTTGATGACACTGTAATCGAGCCACTCTACAGAGACACCTCAATAGCATCCAAACCTGGATAGACAGGTGGAGGCTGAGAGTTTGGAATGAATAGAAATAGACCTCATCCAAAGGAAAATCTCAGTTGGGAGAAAACACCACTCTCCTAGACCAAAAAGGTCAAGTACCTCGGAATCATTTTTGACAGTAAACTCAACTGGGCGGAACATGTCAAATACGGCAGGAACAAGACAAAAGGCCAGCTCAAACAACTCCTTAACAGAGATAGCAAGCTAAACACCCAAACAAAGATAAGCACATACAAAATCTATATAGGACCTATAATAACTTACGGAGCTTCAGCCTGGGCCACGACCATCAAAGACAGCCTAGAAAATAGGATTTTGTGAAACCTTCTGGGCGCACCATGGTTTGTGCGAAACACGACAATTCGCAGAGACACACTGCTCCAAGAAACCATCTCGACGATATTTACACTAACCATTTCACCAAAGCAACAACAGCCATAAACCCAGGGAAAGCCACATTCCAGCCCTGCCAGAGCAACGTACCACTTTCCAGGAAACCACTTATTTTGAGGAAGCTAGACCAACCTAGCACATGCAGGTCCGCCACGCTGAACCAACCAATACACTTTCAGATCTGGATTTCCAGAAGAAAACGATCAACCAACAGAATTCCATTTATTGAGAAGAAAAAACTCTTACCAATAATATTCCCACTTTTAGCTTTGGGCGGTGCAATATCAGCAGCAAACCGCGTTTTCTGATACTGCTTCTTGTCTTCTCGGGGCATCGGCGGCGGACTTGGCGGCGAATAATCCGGCGGCGGTTCCTCCAAACGTTCAACTCTATCCTCCCTTTCGTCGAGTCTCCCGGACGATCTGTAACCGCTATCGTAACGAGTTCGTCTTTCTGATCTGTCCACGCATTTTTCTCTGCGTTCTAGATTTTTCTTTCTTTGCGGCGGAGTCGGAGAATCATCCAGATCTCTGAAGAGAAAGAAAACAACTCAGAACTATACGTTCTACACTAAACCTAATCCAACCAAAATTCTTACCTGATAGGTGAAGGAGATATCTTAACAGGTCGACCATAATCGGGACTAGGCGAGTGTCCGTTACGATAATCGGGCACAGGCGAGTGATGTTGACGATAGTCAGGAACGGGCGAGTGCTGCGGTCGTATATAATCGGGTATCGGCGAACGAGTGGGCCTGTCAATGTGGAGAGGCGAGTGCGAGTGATGAGAGGGCGAGTGATGATATGGCAGTGGAGATTGTCTTTGAGCCGAGTACTGATGTTCCTGACGACGTTCTGACCATTCTGTAATGCCTATATCAAAAAGTTATTCCATATAATAAATATTTAATGTATTAGGTACCTTTATAGAATCCAGACTGATTCCTGTCTCTTTCTGGTTCAACAGGGCTGTAAACCCTAGGCGTAGGGCTTTTAACAGTAGTAACATAACTTCTCGGATGTAAGTTACTACTCGGTTGACTTTTGATAGTTACATTAAAAAAACTAGTTTTCGGTGGATGCTCTTCATCGTCCAAAGTTGAATTAGAAGATCTTGATTCTGATCCAAAATGATTTTCGAGCCATTTGGATGTTTCAGTTTTTCTGGTTTCTTCTTCGGCGTCGAAGTCCAACGGACGTCGCGTCAGAGCGTCTTTACGATCCAAAGGACTTTGTTGGGGCTGGACACCATTGTCAAGGCCTAAAATCGAGAGCATTGTTAATGTTTCACTTCTAGTTAAAACCTTGTCTAATGATTTACCTTGTATTTAGCAAATAAATAATTTTAAGAAATAAAACAATTATTATTGGAAAGGTTAACAAATTAACTTGAAGTAAATAAATAAATCAAATAGAAGATTAGAAAATTAGGTACCTCTATATCTATGAGGCTGTCGATTATTGTTACTCCTTCTTCTAGCTCTAGCCGATAAAGATTCAAACAAATCAACTTCATCGTCACCTCTTTTATCCACTTCCATTGTTTCCGTTTTGTACCTCATTTCATGGCCTATATTTTTACCGTTAGCTACGTAATCGACGTCTTCTTGGTCTCGAGTTTTTAGATATCTAAAATAATTATTTAATATTATCATGTCGCTCATTGATTGGAAAATTATTTTACCTTTGTGAACTTTCTTTGTGATAATCTTGATCGGGAGCATCGCTTGGTAATTCGTCATCCTTCACTTCTTCGTGCTCGGTAGTGCGTTGAGTTTCTGTAACAATTTTTCCATCTGGTAGTACGGAACTCAGTTCTCTAGTGTCTTCGGTGTCGGTTACTTTTTTGCTTTTTGTTGTGTCTATTATAACTCTAGGTCCTAAAATACAAATACTCCATTAACAAAACATGTATTAATTATATAAATTAGTATATTACCTGTAGATACTACAGCTCTACCAGCTTCAGATGATCTTAAAACAGATCTCAAATCAGATTTGCCACTTCGTACAGCAGCTAGGAATCTCTGCAAAAAAAAACGTAGTAGAAATCTCGGTTACTCTTTAGCAAATACTGAATGGAAAAAGAAATTGGCTCGATGACTAAAACCAGTAAACGAATTTTAAATACCCTCTGCTTATAATATTAATTATTACCCGGACAAATAAAATGCTAATCATCAAACGTGTTTAAATAATGATTCCCATTATTGTTAGGAATGTAGAAAGTTTAGAGACATATATTCGCTTCGAGCATCATATACACATTAATTGGCAAGAGCATTTCGCAGAAAATGTCATATCTGCTATATATTACGTTTTACTCATCTAACGTTCTCTTTCAAACCCAGACGACCATGAAGGCCTTCCTAAATGCACCGAGAAGTAGGTATCTTTACCACAATAAACGACATTTAAACTATAGAATTAAAGTTCAACACGGATGATGATACGAAAAGAGCAAACTCTCGCGCGATTATTTGACAGCTATTGTATTACATAAAATAAATCGTGAAGCAACTCAATTTGCTAAAGCGAATTTTCTTCTTAATTGCAAAAGTTAATAAAGGACTATAGGTATACAACATCATGCTGTAAAAAAGGCAAATAACATTTTTTCTTAATTATACCACCAAGGCTGGTTTTCTTATGGTAATTTCGATGTTATTACAATACACACCAGCCTTTGTTGCGTACTGAAAAGTAGTCATTATAGAGTGCACCGCCATTTTCTTAAGGGTTAAATTATCAGGTTTCAGTTAACGGAAGTACCTAGATGAGAAGATTAACTTATATGTTTATATTTAGCCTTGATATGTGTATGATAAACCTAACACAAATTATATGGGTTTTGAATGTTCAGCTAATTATATTTTTCTTTTATACGGGTGAGGTCAATAACAGCTTTAATACACTGATTAACATGCCTTGTACAGAGTGTCACAAAAGTTACAAGGCGATTTTAGAAATTTATTATTCGGTCAAATATCTACGAGTCATCAGAAGCTAGTTTTTGATTAGTTTCAAAAGTGTAACATGTAAAAGTGTCTAGATTCTTCAAAAGTCATTCAAGACACCCTTGAGCAAGCTTCTCAAAAATTTTAAAAGTGCAGAAATTGAAGAATAACTCCAGATTTATTTCGAAAATGCTTGAGAAGCTTCAAAAGCCTGGATGCAGAGCTAATTTTGAATAATTCCACTAATATAACTTTTGAAAGTGATAGCATAGATGCCTTGGACTTGCCTCAGAAGCTCCAGAAACTGAATTTCTGATACTTTTTTCCATATGTCAATTTTAGAAAGAATTGTAAAATTTATGTAAAATCGCCTTTGAGAGAGTCTGAAAAATACTTCAAAGAATCAGAATATCGAACAGAAATTGTACGGAATCTGAAAAAATTGTATTGAATGGCGGCAAATTCAAAAATTGGAATGTATAAAAGTGGATTTATATCCTATTCACAATCCGTAGTCCGAAGGTAAAGGTAAATTTATCACCTCTCCCTATCAAATAGCACTGAAAGGTGATACATTTTACCTTTACCTTTGGACAACGGATTGTGAATAGATAATATATAGATCTATGTAAAAGTGGATGTTGGATTTATGGACTGGCATTAAAAAAAAATACATATATCCAAATATCTTGTCTGTCAACTCGGGATTCCCAGGAACATAACCTAAATAAATGAAGTATAGCCGATTAGCTCAACCGGAGTGGTGCGTCACTGCACTGGAAAATGACTCAGAGCACTTTTGCAGTGGACGAGTTCATTTGGTTTGACATCTCTGTTACATCACGTTACCTGATTTTACTCTGTACTCTGCTCGCTCCGCTCGGAGCAAAGCTACACTGTTCTGGGAGTGAAAATTTGAATATTTGACGTTGAAGTTTTGTACTGAAATTGGGTGTTTTTTCAGAAGGTTGTACTGACGTACTGAATTGGCTCATTCTGTATCGAATTCAGTACAATTGTACCGAAACGGCAGCCTTGAATATAACCTTTGAAAGTGTTAGCATAGATGCCTTGGACTTGCCTCAGAAGCTCCAGAAACTGAATTTCTGATTCTTTTTCCATGTCAATACTAGAAAAAATTGTGAAATTTATGTAAAATCGCCTTTGAGAGAGTCTGAAAAATACTTCAAAGAATCAGAATATTGGACATCAGAAATTGTACTGAATCTGAAAGAATTGTACTGAATGGCGGCAAATTCAAAAATTGGAATGTATAAAAGTGGATTTATATAGATTTATGTAAAAGTGGATGTTGAATGTATAGACCTATTATTATAAATCAATAGAAGTTCAAAATGATTTTTTTTATAATTTGTCTAGATCCAGCTAAATGAGGTTAAAACAATTAGGCACTAAAAAAAATACATATATTCAAATATCTTGTCAACTTGGGTTTCCCAGAAACATAACCTAAATAAATGAAGTATAGCCGATCAGCTCAACCGGAGTGGTGCGTCACTGGAAAATGACCCAGAGCACTTTTCCAGGGCACGAATTCATTTGGCTTGAATCTCTGTTACATCACGTTACTTGACGTTACTCGGTACTCTGCTCGCTCCGCTCGGGGCAAAACTACACTGTTCTGGGAGTGAAAATTTGAATATTTGACGTTGAAGTATTGTACTGAAATTGGGTGTTTTTTCAGAAGGTTGTACTAACGTACTGAATTGGCTCATTTTATACTGAATTCAGTACAATTGTACCGAAACGGCAGCTTTGAATATAACGCTTGAAAGTGATAGCAAAGATGCTCTGGACTTGTCTCAGAAGCTTCAGAAACTAAATTTCTGATTCTTTTTCCATGTTAATACTAGAAAAAATTGTAAAATTTATGTAAAATCGCCTTTGAGAGAGCCTGAAAAATACTTCAAAGAATCAGAATATTGAACAGAAATTGTAATGAATCTGAAAGAATTGTACTGAATGGCGGCAAATTCAAAAATTGGAATGTATAAAAGTGGATTTATATAGATTTATGTAAAAGTGGATAATGGATATATTGGACCTATAAATCGATGGAAGTTTAAAATGAATTTTTTTTTAAATTTGTCTAGATCTAGCTAAATGAGGCTAAAACAATTAGGCACTAAAAAAAATACATATATTCAAATATCTTGTTAGCTCGGGATTCCCAGAAACATAACCTAAATAAATGAAGTATCGCCGATCAGCTCAACCGGAGTGGTGCGTCACTGGAAAATGACTCAGAGCACTTTTGCAGTGCACGAGTTCATTTGGCTTGACATCTCTGTTACATCACGTTACTCTATATTCTGCTCGCTCCGCTCGGGGCAAAGCTACACTGTTCTGGGAGTGAAAATATGAATATTTGACGTTGAAGTTTTGTTTGTGGTGTTTTTTTTTGAAGATTGTACTGACAGTACAATTGTACCGAAACGGCAGCCTTGAATAAAACGTTTGAAAGTGATAGCATAGATGCCTTGGACTTGTCTCAGAAGCTCCAGAAACTGAATTTCTGATTCTTTTTCCATGTCAATACTAGAAAAAATTGTGAAATTTATGTAAAATCGCCTTTGAGAGAGTCTGTAAAAGACTTCAAAGAATCAGATTGACTTGAAACTTGCAGAATATGCATTTGTTGGAGTCATTTTATCAAATCAAACAAACTGGAAATCAATCTAAAGCTCACAAGGAGAATTCTGATTTTTTTCCATGTCAATACTAGAAAAAATTATAAAATATCTGTTAAATCACTTTTGAGAGAGTCTGAAAAATACTTCAAAAACTCAGATTGACTCGAAACTTACAGGATCCATTATTTGGAGTCTTTTTATCAAATCGAACAAACTGGAAGTCAGGATCAATTCAGCCACTATAGACGGTGGTATATTAAAAACTGAAGATGAGGCTAGCATGAATCTTATTCAATATGTAAAAGACCTTGAAACACAGCACCAGGTGAAAGTATTTAGACTAGATAATGAAGGAGAATTTGGATCGAGTAGTTTTATGAATTTTTGTAGGAAGAATGGTATGATTTTGGAGTATACCATGCCATATACCCCCCAGGAGAATGTGGAAAAGCTGAACGAATGAATAGAACTCTATTGGATGAAATAAGAACCAAGATTACCTATAGATTCAGGTATTCCAAAAACACTACCTATGGGATGAAACGCTAAAATGTTCTGTGTATGAACTAAATAGAAATCCAACTAGGGCTTCACCTAGGGGAGTAACACCCTCGACAATTTGAAATGATCTGAGTAAACTCAAGATTTTTGGGTGTCAAGCCTGGTTTACAATCCTACCCAAAGGTAATAAGGCTAAGGCAAAGCAGGCTGTTATTGTGGGATATTGTGGTGGTGGCTACAGATTATGGTTACCAAATGAGCAGAAAATAGTGAGATCCAGAGACGTAAGATTTGGTGAGAGTTTGATGGTGTGCAAGAAAAGCCATGAGATAATAGGGATAGAAAGTGGGCCAAAAAAAAAGAAAAACAGCCAACTTACTTACTTGATGAAGAAGAGAAAAGAGAAACGGGAAAAGAGAGACAAGAAGAAAATTATATATTGAAGAGATACAAGAAGAGAGACCTGTTCAAAAGATCAATAATATGCAAGGATGCAATGGAAATTCAAGTGAGAATGAAAAACATATGCCATGGAATAATACGACTATAACAAGACATGCAAGAACTGTGAACAAACCCAAAACTCTTGATAATCATGAAATATACAGTGCCTGTTGTTTACTCACAGCAACTCCAGATGAGCCTAAGAATTATGCAAAAGCCTGTAAAACTGCAGAGTATAGAGAAGTCATAGAGAAGGAAACTAAATCTCATGAAAACTTTCAAACTTGAATCCCAGTAGAACTTCCTGAATGACACGAAGTGGTTTTTTAAAATAAAAGAAGATAGTACAAAGGAAGCAAGATTGGTTTCAAGAGGTTTCCAAGTACCTATAATGAAAGTCATGAATTCATTTATGTCCCAGTGTGTAGGCTAGCTACAATAAGACTCCTTATATCAGTGTCTTTACAGAAT